AATCTCAGGAAAAAGAAAACTTCCCAAGTCAATTTAATTGGCAATTTAGTTTCAAGATGTTTATCCTGGCAACACTAGTATCTCTTTTACCTTGATGTTACTGTTGCCTGTAGATATAGTTGCAAGCTAGATCCACATGCAGTAACTAAGCTATGGCTTGCTAAATATGCTACAAATGCCTAATAATGATTATAATTTTTATATAATTCATTGTGATTTATAGCTAGTTAATTGCTAACATCCCTGAAATTGTCAGTTCAAGAATAGTGTACCTTTCCAGCAGCATTCATATTGTGAGAACTAGAAAAATTGCCTAAATTTTATTCCTGATTTTATTATTTGTACAGATAATTCAAAAAACTGAACATATCCAACACACCTTCTTCCTCCTATTTTCCCCACAGCAACAAACCTATAAAATGGTTGGGCCGAGAGAGAATAACTGGCCCAAAATTATCCAGCTGAAGTGGGGCTTGGAAGTCACAATCTCCTGCTTTTTAGCCTGGAGCCTTAATCACTATTGGCTTGCAGCATTATGTGTACAAAGCATAGTCATAATCATGAATACAAACTTAATGTTTGTATTCAAACAACTGTAGTTCATTCAATAGTCAAAGTGTCAGATTATCTCTTTATATTATATGATGTAAGTACAAACTCTTGAAGCCATGTTGATAAAAAATATTAGGCAATGTTAACATTTCAGTGTTGAAATTTCACACTGCAGAACTTTAATTCAAATGTGGAGCATATCCAAGGAAGACAGCATTGTATTTTCTGATGCAAAGAATGCAGGTGAAAGGATTGCACAACAGTAACATGTTTATTCCAGCAGTTTCAAGCCACTTGTTATCTACCAGTAAGCTATGTGGAGCCAAGTGGATTTCTTTCAGTTTCAGAAATGTTCTGGACAATAGTGGTCAATTCAGTTGCTATCCAATTTCTGAAACAACTAAGTCTATGTTTGGACCTGACTAGCCTCCATGTGCAATTTCCCAAATTTTGTAAGCAATGAAATCATCAGCATGTTTATGAAATCTTTCTAACAGTAAATGTGCTTTAGCATTTCATTGTTTTGGAACTCAGCTAGTGACATTAACTACTTTATTCATCTAAGTCAAAATGATCTGCAAAGCAGAATTTCCTATCTCTAAGTGATGGAAAATAACTTTGAAAATTACATTAAAACATTACATTAATGGAAGTATGATTTGTACAGAGCTTATTAGAAGCGGGTTTAGAAGCATGTAAATTGCAATCACATGGCTGTGGGATGCTACAGTGGGCATAAATGTGTGTCATTTGTAAAGCTGATCATTGTATCTTTGAACAGTCACTAAATGAGTCAATCTATGAGGACTAGCTGTAATCTTTATGAAATCTCTAGGAAATCCCTGCTTGCCTCAAACCTAGAGATTATCTTAGACAAATCTTCTCCAATGTGATAATACTTGTTTATATTTTTTAACCTATTATATTTTTAGAAAGCAGAGGGAAGGCACCTACCAATGACAGAGAGGTAGCTGGGGTGGTTGGAAAGTTCAAAGTAAGGGGTTGTGCAATTACTACATACAATGTTGAGTATGAGTTTAGATGGTAGATTCAGCAATCCTGCCCATGGAGTTCAGTCAAACTGTACCTACTAAAAGGCTTCAGTATACTTATAATGGAGTTTAAATTTACTGCAAACATTACAAGTAAGAATGTGTATCAGACTTCACTATTAGACTTACAGATAAGCCCTCACTTACTGATCACCCATTCAACAACCATTCAAGTTGTGATGACGCTGAAGGAGTGGTTCTTATACCAGTCCTGGAAGTTCTAGCCATCACATCACCTCCATGGTCATGCAATCTTGATTCAAGCACCTATCAACCAGCTTGAATTTACAATGGCTGCAATGTCCCATAGCCATCTTATTGCCACTTATGACCTTCCCTGTCAGCTTCCCACAAACTAAGTCAATGCAAATCAAGAGCAACCCACTGCTTCCCCCAGCCTCCCTACACTCATATGGAGCTATACCCTGCTTCCTAACTGGCCTGCATTTTTGTGAAGTCTCAGCCTCTTTTCCTCAATCTCCCCTATGCTTCTCTGTTTTGTTTGGGTGGGACAAAAATTATGTTTACACTAACAAGCATTGAGTACAAATGCTTTGTCATTGGGATACATATTTTGGAGCAACTCTTCCCGTATCCATTTAAGGATTTAAGAATGAAACTCTGACTTTTGGGTTTACTGATTAGACTGATAGATCATTATATAAATGGCTTGTTCATATTATTATAAAAAAGCAAAAAGTTGTGATTTGATGTTAATGCCTTATTTTACTATAATAGTCAATGCTTCTTTTTCTTTTTTTTTCTCTTTCTTATCTTTCCTCATTTTTCTTTCTCCTTTCCTCCCCCCAATACTTTTCTATTTACTTTGTATTTTATAATACATATATAATACTTATAATTTAAAAAAATGGCTAACAGGGATTTATTTTTGTTATATACCTATGCTAAAATCTTTCATCCCTACTTTTGCTTCTTACTGATACTAGAGAGACTTCTAAGAAATCAGTAAAAGTACAAGAGAGCTAGAGTGAGAGTGAGAGCGAGACAAAGAGAGAAAGGGGTTGCGGTGAGAGAAAGACAGATTCTTGCAAGAGATAGCCCAGGTATCTTGCATCCACTTTGTGGCTTGGCCTTGCGAGATTAATATCAAGATATTAAAATACTTGCTGCAGGCATTTGTAAACAGCTAAATTATAATTACTTTAAAAAAAAATTATTGTTTCCAAATTTTAAAAAACATAAAACTTTATACATTGTTATCAACATCAAGACATCTTTTACATTTCCTCACATTTTTCAGTATATGTATTTACTTATTCCTTTACCATTGCATCTTACTCTTACTATAAATCAATATCTTTTATCCTTACATCTCACTCTTCTCCATGGTATATTTATATATTTACATATTCCCTCATACTTTTCTTAATTGGCATTTTATTTTCTTTTTATTTCTAAACAACTCATACCAGGCATCCCAGGCCCTATAATAAATTGAATCTTCTCTGTCTTTTATTTTCATTGTTAGCCTGTCCATCTCTATACAATCTATTATTTTTTTAATAACCATGTTTTCCAGTGGAACCCTTTTTTCCTTCCAGAGTTGTGCGTACGAAATCCTTGCAGCTGTTAATATATGTAATATATCTATCTGTTTTATTGCATTTTTGTGTTATTATACCTAATAAAAAAGTTTCCAGATTAAATTCAGTTTTCTGAATTGTGATTTCTTCTATCCATTGTCTAACTGTATTCCAATATTTTTTCACTTCCTGGCATGTCCACCAAGTATGAAAATAAGTGTCTTTTTCTTTTCCACATTTCCAACAATTTGGGTCTGAGTTAAACATTTTTGCTGATCTAGCGGCAGGAAGGTGCCATCTGTAGAACATTTTGTATCGATTTTCCTTGTATGCTGTGGATGTAATTAGTTTGTAATTTGATCCCCGCTTTTAAGGAAACCTTCGATCACCAATCACCCCCCACCCATGGGCCAAATTTTACATAGACTAGAGATATTGCTAGAAAAGTCTCTCTTCTGTATTGAGGAAGCCTTGTGAGGTAAGCCATCTACAGAAAGTCTGAGTATTCTTTGGTATACTGATCTTCTAAAATGCGCATACATGCACACACACAAAAAACCCCAACCCCAACCCACAATTTATGGTTAGAAAAAAGTTATTTGAGGGAGGCATGATCAAGCTGTATAAATCATTACCATAATTGCACAAGGTAGACAGAATTTATTCCTCTCAAAACGCTAAAGCAGGGATCTTCCAATCATGGTAGCCAGAATACCACCTTAGCTACAAAAGAATTTATTTGCAGAGTCTAATTAATCAGAATTCATTACCACAAAATGGGATGATGAACCACTATAGTGATTTGATACGTTTGCGAAGAGGAGTCTATCAGGGCTACTACTTTTGAATATTCAGTTTCCAAACACACCAAGTAACAGAGTAAAGGCAGTAAAAAAGGGGCCTACAAACACCACAGAAATATCTAGCATAGCCAGTGTGAGAAATGACAGACCAAGAGGGCTTTGGGCTGATTCAGCAGGCCTATCCTTATCTTCTTAAATCAATTTAGAGTGGGGCTGGAGCGAAGCTATAAGCTGTCACTGACGAATATGTCAACATGTCAAATATAGAATAGTGGGTGAGTTATTGTTATTATATTATTATTATCCTGAAGAAAAGAGAAGGAAAACGCCCCAATCTGTGTCCCATTGCTTGATAAAGAACGAGTAGGCAGAAACATCAGGCGTTAAGGGGACACCGTTCTATCTAGCCTGAAAATAGACGAGATATGCCCGGGCCTTTGCGCCGCCCACATCTGCCGTGCAAACTCCAAAGTAGTAACAGCTGGGGAAAAAAAATATATCCACAGAAATTGCAGCCGCAGCAGCTGCTTCCTCCCCAGCCTTTCGAGTGTACAAAAGGGGTTTTCTCTCGCCCCGACACGCTTGCCAAACTCCTTTCTTGCACGATTTCGCGCTGGCCCGTCCGCAGGCACACACATGCCCCAAGCGTCGCTATGCCAACCCTCTCGAGTGTTGCGGGACCCGCTTCCTCACAAACGCATCCCGAGCTCTGTGGAAGCTTGTCCCAGTCACAAAGACACTCACAAAAGGAAGTCAGGAGAAGCAACGGCGCCCATATACGAAAGCGAAGGCAATTATAGCCCTCGGCACACGCCGCGCTCTAGCTAAGCGGCATTGGCCGGCGGAGGGGGTCTAACCGCAGAGCCTGCGCTCGCCCCTCGCCCCTCGTTGGAGCTTTGCCGCCACTCAGGCGGCTCCAGCCTGAGGTTGCCGCCATAGCCGCGGTTGCTGTTGCTACGCGACGGGAGGGCGGGACGGGCGGGACGAGGCTCCTCCCCGTTTCCTTCCTCGCGCCGCCTTGTGGGTTTGTGGAACCGCTGCTTCTGGTTCCTTGCCGCCAGTCCTGCTCGGGGGAGGCGAGGGAAGCTGGCGCGGCCGGGTTGGCGGCCGGGGTTTCGGTGTGTTGCAAGCCCGGTCAGGTTTCCCTCCGCCGGGCCCCTCTCCATCCGCTCCGACAAAGCGCGAGGAGCGTCCGCACCCTCTCCGGAAACTCCCGGGCGGATCTTACAAACGGGCTCTTTTCGCGGTCGCGGTTTGGTCGCCTTTTCGGCCGTCTAGTTCACCTCGAGCGGGGGGAGCTGAGCTGAGTTGCGGCGGCGGCGGCATTCAGAGACGGGTTCGGGAGACCCTTTTGGTCCCGGCCCCGCTTGCAAACTGTCCGGGCCCGGGAGGAACTTCCGTCCTTCCAGCCACCCGCCGGGTAGGCAGCGGGGCCAGGACTTTTCACCAACGTGTCCAGAACTTGATTGTTGGAGCGGCCGTTGACGTTGGGCTGGTGCGCGTCGGAGAGCTGGCGGCGGGGCTGATCTCTTCGGCTTGTTTTCCGCTTGGCGTAGGGTGGCGATGAAGCTGAGCCGGCAGTTCACGATATTCGGCAGCGCGATCTTCTGCGTGGTGATCTTCTCGCTCTACCTGATGCTGGATCGGAGCCACTTGGACAACCCCAAGAACCACCGCCGGGAAGGCTCCTTCCCCCAGGTGAGCGAGGGACGGGAGCCGCCGCGGAGCGGGGTGGTGAAAGAAAGCTTGGTGGGGTGGAAAAGGAGGTTCGCCTGGCAAGCTGGGACGGTTCGGGGAAGGGGGGAGAAAATGCAGAGCGCTCCGGCTGTAAAAAAGGGGGAAAGTGGCGCGGATGACTCAAGCAGAGTAGGCATATTTTCAGAAAAGGAAGTGCGGGGGGTTGGGAAGTCTCCTTGCCTCGGAGCCGGGGAGAAAGGAAACGGTGAACCTCAAGCCTTTCCATCAAAGCAGGCTTGCTGGGCATGTACAGAAGCTTAAGCTTTCTTAGCTATTATCTTGATCGTTTCGGTTTAATGGTAGGGAGAGAGCGGTGAGCGACCGAGCAGCTCCCTTTTTAGCAGATTTTAAATGGAAGCTCAATTGTAGTTGTACTGGATAGATTTCACAGGAGCCGGAGTGCAGTCCCGGAATTGGATTTTAAAGAACATACTTGCCCTAGTCCGGGACCCTATGCCTTTAAAATACTGTCTTTTGGTATATCTCCAGTAGTGACTACGGATGAAGACTTAAGGGTGGGGTTTCCAGAGAGGGGTTGCTCTGGTGCCCCGTAGGAAAAGAGTAGGCAAGGATAGGATGTTGGCTCTCAAGGTATAAGTCAGCTGCTTTATCAGGTGCTCTTTTCTTTCATGACTTTGAGATAGAACTTCTGGGAAGTGTAAGTTTGCTTGACTATTAAATAGTTTCACCACTGGTCATGGAGTATAAACTGCTCGGTTTTCTTTTCTTTTCATGTTCTTTGACTTGTGGATAGTGGAGTAACTGCTTTCCAACAAAAAGGCTAGTTTCTTTTATGGCACAATATAATATTCAAATATGGCTGGTAAACTATATTTCTGGATTAATGGGTTTAATGAATAAACCCAGCCAATTGTGTTTTATTTATCACATAACTGTAGTTTAAGACGCTTTGAGGGCACACCCTGAATTCTTTGAGCAGCCTGTGTGATAGATGATGTGGAAGATTGGCCCAGACCTGAATTCAGCAGTTCAGTGAAAATAAAGTGTGAAACAACATCACTCTGATAATTAATTTGCAGCTAAGAAGTGGACAAAGTTTTATGCTTTCTATAACTATTTTGTTCTGTTCATAACAATAGAGTTGCATATGGCTAATTCTGCCAATTAATATTAGTGTAGTTTAGAAATTCTCCCTATGTTAGAGGAGAGAAAGGTAATTTATGGCATTGAGTTTCTACATTTAAAAAAAATATGCAATGATAGATTTGCTTGCTTTTGAACCAAGTCTGATATATCTGGTACACTTCCAAGTAGGATAAATAAAACTTCACATTTTAAATATTGTTTAGAACTGCCAAACTCTGGACTATTTAGCAAACTATATATTAAAAAATGTATTATGCAGAGGAAGGATCATAGTTTGTCTAATTTTGTGATTCTAAAATTCCAAGTTCCTATTTTTTTAGGTTTATTTTAGATTTAAAAAAAAAATCTTTTATAAATAACACAAGCTGATTAAGGTATTTCTTCCTCCTTTTTTTCTCATAACAACCTTGTGAAGTGAGTTGAACTGAAAGAGTGTGACTGGCCCAAAGTCACTCAGTAGGCTTTCATGCTCTGATGTAAAGCAGCACCCCCTAACCTTTCTGGCACCAGGGACTGGTTTTGGAAGAAAAAATGTCTTCCATGGACCAGGATGGGGGGAGGGGAATGATTTTGCATGCCACTTAGATCCTGTGCATGCACAGATGAAGCTTTGCTTGCTTACCTGCCACTTGCCCAGTTTCTGACAGGCTGCAGACCAGTACAGGTGTGTGAGGGGTTGTAAAGGAATCTTTCTTTTTCAAAGTAAAAAAAAAGCAATTTATTTAATATGTATTGCATCCTATGTTGGAGATCTCAAAGTGGTTTATATAAAAACAAATAAAATACATTAAAGTCAAACAATGCAGAAGAACATTTAATAGGGTGTGTTCATTAAAAAGATAAGGCAGCACTGTCAGAACTTATGTACTCATATACATAATACAGCAGTTTTAAAATGAATAGGTGAGCTATAAACTGGTAAGTTTCACAGTGTTTAGTGCTTTATAGTAATGTGTTAGAAAATTTTTATTCTTGTATTTTTGCAACGGAGTACAGGTGAATTGAAGTTCTGTAAAAATGAGTTTGGAAACAAAAAGATTCAGGTTATTTTTGGGTGGGCGGTATATTTGCTATCTATTTTGAAAGCCCTGTTACTTGATAGACTGGAAATGATGAGTATCTATTTATTGTTAACAGTTTTACAACTGTGACTAATCCTACCCTAAAACATTGTAACACCAATAAGTGCTGCCATCTGTTGAGAGAGTAATAGGAATTCTTCCTCTGATAGATAGGATTTTCAGTTAAAAGAACCAGTTAGGTTACTGAAGTCTGTATGTTCCCCTTTCTTATCCATTATTATTTATCTCAGATAATTGGGTACTGGGCCAAATAAAAGCATTTATATGCAGTGCTTTGCTAGAATTGGAACATTGTTGGCTTACTTAATTCACAAGTTAGTATTATGATTGCTTAAAGCAAGAGAACATTAAGTACAGCCAAAGCAATAAAAGGATGCTAAAATTTCTAGCTTAGTGTTTGCCTGTGGATAATATGATAGGCAGATGCTTAAGCTGCTGAGAAACGGATATAAACAAACCATCCAGGAATCTCTATTTGGCAGAACTGTGCAGCTGTAGATTTCAGTTATCTCCCTGACACAGGCCTCACAATGGCTTAGGTTGTATGCAAACTGTAAACTTGCCTGGAGGCACAATCTGATTCAGAGCAGTAGATCAGGGCAGCTTGCATTCACAGACAATAAACATGGTAGATGTCTTGATGTTGTCTGGATTGTAAACTAACAAATTATAAATGCAGTATTTTTCATTAGAAGCACATAGGCCATGTTGATATAGATTATCTTACTTTGAAGGTTGATACACAGTTTTTAAAAAAGGAATTCATTTTTTTGCAAGGGTGACATTTAACTTGAATGACTTATAATGCTGTTAAGTTTGCATTGCAATTAAAGGTACCAAAAGTTACTTTTCTCAATGTAATGTAAAATGTCTTTATCTTGAAATACTTAGAATTTTTAGTGGGGTTGGAAATACATTTATCAGAATGTTTTAAAGTCTTGGTTAATTTTATAAAAGTGAAGTAAATTTAAATAATCTTTACTATTTTGAATAAACTCTACTTTGTCATCTGAATGGAATATTACATGGTCACTTTATTTTTTATATTTATAACTGATATAATTACCCAATTTACTAGTTTCTTCTCCATTCCAATATTTTTAAAAAATCCAGTTTGTCACTATACCTTTTGATATCTGGTACCTACAACCAGAGGCAGTATTCCAAACAGGATCTGATTAGGGCAGAATCGAGTGGAACAGTTACTTCCTGTCATCTGGACTCAGTGCTCTTGTTAATGAAATTCTTGTTCCAACAAGTCTTACTTCTAAGAATTGCCATTGTTAAACTTGTTTGATGTTAGGTGGTATTTTTACTTGAAGACAGGTTCCTACAGTCTCTCCAAAAGGTGTATGGATGCAAAGTTGTGGCAACACTTAAAATTAAAAACTGTACTTATTGTATGAGGTGAGGGTTTGAATTAAAATATATTTATCTGCAAAGATGGCATCACTGAATTTAAGATAGTTCTTTCTTTCTACTAAAGAAGAAATAGGCAAAAATATGAATGCAGTCAAAAATTATTTGCAGTGCCCATCTTTTCTACCATTTTAGTCTTGGGGTTTGAGTTTCAACCAAAACAATTCTGGAGATTCCTCTGTTCTAATGTGGACATATGACATATTTTTTATATGTTTGTGTGTGTCTATACCATATCAGCTAGAAACCATATAAAAACCTACATACATATGCATTTTAAATTACTGACTATATTAGCCTTTAAAATAATTATAAAATGAATGAATGCCTATGGAAGGAGGGATGTATGTTATTTGGATAGTTAGTATCCATCTTTCCCACTTCCTGTAACAGTCCCACCCTTATTGAAATACTGAGCCATCTCTTTACAAATGCTGGGCTGTGGTGTAGATTGTGACAGAGCTGAGGGAGAAATGAGAATATGAAAAGAGTGAACAAAGAACCAACCTAAGATTGGTCCCAAAGATGTGTATAGCTCTTAGGAGCAATCCAGACACAATTGCCAAATAATCCAGACTCCTGCCATGATGAGGGGCCTATAACACCTTCTCAAGATGAATAGCTTATGGAAGCAGGCTTGAAGATATAAAACCAAGTCCAGTGCATAGCAGCAGTGAACTGACCAAAATTAGGAGAAAATACTGTTCTAAGCCTTGAGAAATACGGCACACATTTAAAATGTATGTTTTGATTTGCTATGTTAATTTAAAATAGTTTTATATATTGAACATTTTAAACTGCTAAGATTATTGTTTTGTTGAGCTGGGGAAAAAACATATGGCTGATACATGATTTTATAATAGTTGAGCAGTTTTTGTTTTAAAGCTTTGACAATACATAAAAAAAGCTGTAAAATTATTTGTAGGTAATTAGATATCAGCCACAAAGTTACAAAATATTAATTTTCTAGCTTGAGGATTCCTTTTGTAATAACTTCCATAAATTATAGTAGTAGGTAGAAACTACATGGAACTAAACATTTCTCTTTTATCTAGTTTGCTTAATATACCACTAGGGGGCACAAAATGATACTTCACATGTATGGCTTTCTAAACTTTTCCCTCAGCATTGTAATAGTGTACATAATTTTCTTTGAGATTATTATCAATGTTTACAGATTCAGATATGATTTAAAAATATATGAATTATAGTACTTGCTTAAAAACCACCCACTAAATAGGAAGCTTAGTTCAATAGAAATTTGAAGTATGTTTAACAGATATTATAAAGATAAGTTGGAAATGAGATACAATTGGAGAATGGCTGCAGTGTTGGCTGATAAGTCATGAAAATGATCTAAAGAGGAAAAATATAGGCCATTTCCCCCAACTTTTGCTCCAGATATTGTAGATTTCCATTTCAATAAACCCCAGTCAGTTTAGTGAATGGTAGTACATTCTGACCACAGGATAAAGGGATGCTAAATGCTGTTCATGCAGGAACATCAGCAAGATACCGCCTCATTTCAGCCTTAAAAAGAACCATTGCAATTAACAGAATCTTGCTAATATGTAGCAAAAATATAATATCCCCCACTAGTAGAAATTAAAATTTGAAGAGAATAGTGATGCTGCAGTTATCACCTTGCTTTTGCAGTCATTGCACAGTTATTTTGATTAAAAAGGAGTGTAGCTTCAATCCCTTACTTGCACATGCCATTTGGATGTCATTGAGTTTCCCTGCAGACACCTTCACTTCGACATATTGTGAAGTAACTCTTAAAGGATTTGAACAGCCCTAGTAAAACCATTTCACAATAAGGTTCCAATCCTTGTCTTTGAAAACCTTTCTCTTGTCTTCTGGAACATAAAGATACTGAAAGTTAATTGTATGCTACATACAAAAATTAGGATTATTTATATTGTTATAAATAAGTAATACTAAACCAAATATTAAACTTACAGTTTGTTTTAGACTAAAAAATTACTTCAAAGTAAACTTTATAAATAAATTGTACTTAAGCCTTTCTTTAACACAAATACAAAGCAATAAAAATATCTGTATTTCCCAACAAAAGCTCTGTTTTACTCCAGATTATAATATTTCTTACACTTCTAAAATGTCAACCTAATACTTCAGGTTCTTAACAAAAATTGCTGCTGATTCTGATGCACAATTCAATGTAACTACGGGAGTGTTGATTAGTGTGGTACTGATTGCTGAGTGAACTTGTTTCTATTTGCAGATTACTTGCACAATATAGAGAGGCATTAACCTCTGGCATGCAGAAATTGCAGGTTTTTAAATTGATTTTGTATATAATCTGAAGACAAAACTTTTTAAAAAATATTCTGGATAATTTAACATTGTACTAACCTGATCTTAAAATAGCTTTCGCAATCTTGAAGCTCTTGTCATGAGATACTTTGAAAATTTGAACATCAAGGTAGAGCCATAAAATATGCACAGCGTCTTTGATATTCTGAATCATAATCTTGCCAACAAATCTTGTTTCTTGATTTCATACTTTTGATAATAAAAATAAGTGATTTTTTGATAGAAGCAATAGTTGACTATGTGTTAAAGGTTTATAGATACCAACCATATAAAATTATTTGGAATTAAATAGGAAATCAGGGAAGATTTTAGAGTACAGTGGTACCTCGGTACTTGTCATTAATTGATTCTGGGATATACAACAAGTACTAAAAAATGAGTACCAAGCAAACCACATGACTCACCACATGTCCTTTATTTCAGTTGGGAAGAACTTCCTGTCTGTCCCTTTTCCTATGCCAGTGACCTTCCCAGCATGGCCAACTTCCTGTTTAACCTCTGCAGCTGTCCCCCACTTCCTTTTGCAGCAACTTTTTGGCATGGCCAACTTCCTGTCTGTTCTCTGCAGCCATCCCCCTCTTCCTATATCAATGCATCAAATACCAAAGAAATGATGAGTACTGGAACAACATTTCATGTCAAAATGCATCAGGTACCAAATTTGACAAGTTTTGAAGCAATTGAGTACTGAGGTACCACTGTAGTGGTATAATGCATTTTATAGTTATTCCTTCCAAGTTGTTTAGGGCTGCATAACAATGTCAAAGATACATTTGTTATTTGTACCCTGTTTCTCCAACAATACAGCCCCCCGATAGGAAGTCCCAGCATATTTTCTAGGCATAAAATGAAATTAAGCCACTCCCCCCAAATTTAGGCCTATTTTAAAACAAGCAAAATGGGAGGGAAGGGCGGGAGGGACTTGCCATTAGGAGCACCCCGGGGCAGCCACGCCTCACCACCAGCTGCTCCCTGCCAAGCAGCTTTGCTACAGACCCGGGCATGGTGCTGGTTGCAGGCCGGGTCAGCAGGCGGGCGGTAGCAGCATGGATGTCTGCCAGCAGCGTTTCAGCTGCTGCTCGGGCCTCCGTAGCTTCCACAGTTCCCGCCGGCGCTGGTGCCTCTCTCTCCAACAACAGCACCTGAGTCGCTCCCGCTTCCCCCCCTCCCCATCCCCACAACAACAGGGAAAAAACATTTTGAGGTACCTGGGAGTGCCGCTCGGTGCATTTTCATTTAATCCCGAGCGGCTGGTTGGGCATGAGAAGAGCCAGGCGAGCATCTCTGCCGCTGCTACTCTTAGTTCTCCAGCCTTGGGCTCTGCAAGTTTCCATAAAAGGTGTGCAGCCCATTCCTGCATTCCAAGCGCGCCCAGGCTGAGCTGCAGCTGTCCCTCTCTTGCCAGCGCCATCTCCAACAGCAGTGGCAGCAAGCAGCAGGAAACGTGGAAGCATTTCAGCCACTTCTTGAGCGGGAGAGCTTCCATGGTACCTCAAAATGTTTTTTTCCCTGTAGTTGCGGGGATGGGGGGAAAAGCGGGAGCGACTCAGATGCTGTTGTTGAAGACGGCGCTGGCAAGAGAGGTGCTAGCTCCGGCAGGAACCATGGAAGCTACGGAGGCCCGAGAAGTTGCTGAAACGCTGCTGGCAGACATCCATGCCGCTGCTGGCCACCCGCTGACCTGTTCTGCAATCAGCACCATACCCGAGTCTGCAGTAAAGGCACTTGGCGGGGGTAGGGAGCCTTCTGTGCTCCACCATGATTGGCCATTAGGTGTGGCTGGTGGTGGGCACGGCTGCACACGGGGCAGTCTAGGCGAGGGTGCGTGGAGGGAGAGAAATTAATTCACCCCTAAAAAGACAGCCTAGCTGTCGGGGCTTAAAAAAAAAGACCTGGCCTTATATGAGAAACACGGTACTTTTTTTTTCTTTTATGCTTTTGTGTTTTTCTCCTCAACTCTAGCTCCTGCAAGGTCACCCAGTTGGCTTTGTGCCTAAACAAGACTAGAACACATGGTCTTCCTGTTTCTAGCCTGATGCCTTTACCATTACATGCACATATATGTTATTGAAAGACCATTGCTGCCGCTCAGAATTTATATATGCCATTTATATCAGGGGTCACCTGATATATACCCCTGGTCCATGGAATGGCACCGGTCTGCAGCATGCCAGCAACCAGGCCACCCAAACAAGCAAAGATCCATCTGTAGGATGTAGGCAGCATGCAGAACCACGCCCCCTCTGGTCCATGGAAAAACCTTTCTCTCTGGTGCCCAAAAGGTTGGGGGCCACTGATTTCCATGGTGGGAACAGGAAATAAATTGTACATGTCCATTTTAAAAATCTAAGAAAATATAAAAAGTGTGTTTTTGTTAATTCTGTTACTAATGCAATATTCTAATTCTTGCTAAAACCTGTAGTTGCAAATACTTGTACTAAATGGAATGAAAAGAATATTCTTTTATGTAGATAGAGCTACCTGTATATAGCAGGTGCCACAGCAGGGAAAGCAGTATAGTTGTTATGATAGGGGATTACACTTTCAAAAATATGCATGTAACTGTGAGGAGATACAATGAATCAACAAGGAAATGTATATCTACTTCCTGGAAAAATAAGAATATGAATAAACTCTCACTAGCTAAAATTGTTTTAATCTTTTATTTCAAACTACAGCAAATAGTTCACTTACCCCATAAAATGTTTTGAACTAATCTTATATCTAGACTGTAATTCTATACCTAAAAAGGTTCTCTGAAAGGCTGCTAATTATTACTTTTGATTTTCTGTTCCAATGATATTTTGTAATATAATTAATTCTTATCTTAATAAATAATGCCTTATTCTAAGATATCATGAGTAGAATTTTGAATATTTTAATGGTGGGATAACTTTAGAACATTATTGAATTCAGAGTGGATTTGGGAAAATGAAAATCGGGGTGGTTATCTTTTTATATTTGCAGCAAAATAAGAGTAGCTTCAAACTGCTACTGTGGTTGTTTGCTTTTTCAGAAAATATCTAAATCTTATATGAATTCACAATTAAAGAATGAAAGAATCTTGAGTACTGGGGTTTTTTTGGAGAAAATTTCTTATACTGAATTGATGATAATTACAAGCTCTTTGCTATCATATTTAGAACAGAAAGAGGAAATATATTTCTACTATATAGATAGTTGGATGTCTAATTGTTTGTATTTTTCAACAGGGTCAGCTTTCAATACTGCAAGAGAAAATAGACCACTTGGAACGGTTGCTGGCGGAAAACAACGAAATTATTTCAAACATAAGAGATTCTGTGATCAATTTGAGTGAATCTGTCAAAGATGGACAACATAGTCCAGAAGTATTAAACTTTAATCAAAGAAATTTTTCAGAAGTATTGCCTCTTGCCAATGCATATCTTTCAATTGAGCCTGAAGATTGTCAGTTTGCTTCAAAAACTGGAAGTCAAGCTTCAGATGTTCAAGTAAGAATCAATTGAATATTAGCTATTGTCCTTCATCTATTTTTAGTCCTCTGTCAAAGAAATATAGAGATCTTTGTGTAGCCTTTCAGGTAGTTATACTTGGATTCCTAAACTGTGAAATAATTAACTGGTAGGTTGGTCAAACATGCATGCAGATCCTGAAATCACTGGGATTGCCAATGAAAATACATTATTATATGCAAATTTGATTATTTAAATGGTTTATATGTTTTGTTTAAAGTAATATATTCATTTGTAATATGTGCGGTTTTTGCATGAGTGTAAACTGGGTATACTTGCTAATCACTGTTGTATTAGAATAATTTTTTAAAATTATAATTTGAGACATTCATTTCTGATTGAGTGACTATGTTTGATACAGATTTGATACAATTGAACTCTGTTGAAGGAGAACTTGTATAAATGTTAGAATGACTATTTCAGAGAAAATTCTTTATATTGTTTTCGTCTGAGTGATTTGAACTATTTTTTAAAAGTTGTAGATTAAATTAAAAACAATGCTTTCTCCATCACTGCAAATTTTATTATATTGATGTTTATCATACCAAAAGTTAAAGTAGGCTGTGTTTTAGGGATTACAGGTAGTCCTTGATTTACAACCACAATTAAGTCCAACATTTCTGTTGTTAAGTGAAACATTTGTTAAGTGAGTTTTGCCCTATTTTACAACCTTTCTTGCCACAGTTGTTAAATGAATCACTCCACTGGATAAATTAGTAACCGAGTTAAGTGAATTTGGCTTCCCCATTAAACTTTGCTTGTTGCAAACAATGATTACATAATCTTGGGACACAGCAACGGTCATAAATTGTTTTGACCTAGGCTTCCCAAGATCATGAAACAGACTGTCGTCCTGATAAAACCCCTTTTATTTAGGTTAAAGTGAATTCCTTTCTAGCAAAGTCCCGGCAAACAGTCTCTCATGAAATTTCACAACTACAGACCTTTATCAGGCTTGGAGAGTTGCCAGGCTGATATCTTCCAAATACTATGCTGTAGCAGCAATTACTTGGCAAGAAATCAGGAACAGATCTTCAGTCTAATAAATTGAACTAATTCTCTCCTGCAAACACCACTCCCCTTTTGCTCCTCTTTATTTCCTATGGGATGGGCCATTCACCATCCACATGAGCTTTTATTCCCGAGTTGACCCCTTTTCCTTAACTGTTCCCTTCTCCTGGCAGCCTTACGCATGCATACACTGGAAACAGGTTCTAGCTGTTCTTCTGCCCCACTGATCTCCAACTCCAAAGGCAGCTGATAACTGTCAGATGGTCCTGGCCCTATCTCTGCCTCCAACGCAGAACACTTGTCATAGCCTTCCCCAGACTACAGGACTGGCTCATGTTCCTCTCCAACCTCCTCATTGTCTAAGTCTGCCACCATCTCCACTAGCTGCTGGTGGGCCACAACATAAATATGAACCAGTTGCCAAGCATCTGAAGTTTGATCATGTAACTTGGGGCTGCTACAAAGGTTGTAACTGAAAAACTGTCATAAGTCAAATTTTTCAGTACCACTGTAATTTTGAAACGTCACAAAACTAACTGTTAAGTCAAGGACTACCTATACTTATTGTGGAAATGCTTACCTTTTTTGAGAAAAGACATTTGAAAATAAAGCACTACTAGAGGCTAATAGCCAGTAATTTGACCTTTTTATTTCAAATCATTTTGCAAAGCTAATCTCTGACAGCTGTTGTTTCTGGCCATGTATCCTATCTTTCCCTTAGTTCTCTTCCTTCCAGGTTCCTGAAAGTCTGGTCTTTTCTTTTTCCTAGAATTTCCTGTGTTCATTTTTCGTATAAGTGGTTGGGTCCACCATTATTAGATCTTTGTTCTGAAATCCATCCAGTTACGAGTCAGATCAGTGTTTTGCTTATCTTTTTCCTATGTTATTGAAGCTCAATAAATTACTCATCATGGCTTGCTCAATAAAATAAAAAATATATTCATAAGTTTTACAACTTAACTGTTGAGAGGTCAATTTGCATGGAAGGTAGAGAGGATAGTGTGAAGAAAATGAGACTAAGTTTTTCTCTCCCACCCCCCCATTACAACTTTAAAAAAAATGGTTGAATTGTCTGTCTGTTTGAGGGCTTACAATAGTTTCTGTTCCAAAAGTTTGAGAAATCATGTCACAAGAGTGTTGAAATTTGTTGCCAAAGGGATTCTTAATGGCTGCACATCACCCAGGAGCCTCATGTTAAACAGCCATGCTCTATATCAGTGGTGGCTAACCATTTTTGGGCTCCTGTGCCAAAAATTGTGCGTGTGCTTGTGCACTCATGCTCACATGCCAGTACCCAGAAGGCAATGCGTGTCCCCCCGTGCCCCCTATGCATGCGCGTGCAACCCCCCTTCCCCCCATGCTGCCCGCTTACCTGCATTGCGCCTCCCAGATGATTTTCAGCCAGTTTGAGGCCTTTTTCGGCCTTCCAGAGGCTTGAGGAAGGCCTTTGGCAGCTTTTGCAGGCCGAAAACTAGGCATATTTCATCACTTTTGGTATTACAGGAAGTGATGAAATGGCCCTATTTTTTGGCCTGCAAAGGCCAGCACCCAGAAGGCAATGCATGCCCCCCCATGCCCCCTGTGCATGCTCATGCAATCCCTCCTTTCCCCCCTCCACACCACCCGCTTACCTGCACTGTGCCTTCCAGTTGATTTTCAGCTGATTTGAGGCCTTTTTCAGCCTCCCAGTGGCTTGAGAAAGGCCTTTGGCAGCCTTTGCAGGCTGAAAAATAGGCCTGTTTTGTCACTTCCAGTATTACAGGACGTAATACTGAAAAAAGCCTCAAAGCAGCCAAAAAACAGCTGTGAGGCGTGCTCATGCGCAGTGAGGTAAGTTTACCTGCAGCTCGCATGCCAGCACAAATGGTTCTGCATGCCACCTGCGGCACATGTGCCATAGGTTCACCATCACAGCTCTATATGATAGCTAGTATTTCATATCATGCAAAACTTTTGAAAGAGCAGTCATTTAAATACGTTCAAATCAAATTTATTGAAATGCCAGGCCTTATATGAGGTTGATGTCTGAATATATACACTTAGCACTCGTGATTACACAAATTAAAGTAATTAGGCATTTCCTAGAACAATTTATTTGGGTATGCATTTTTATGATTTGAAGTGCTTTACTGGGGTTGCAGTTCATTGCAGTGTCATCAACTTCTGAAATGTGTATAGGATGACAGTGCTACAACTTCATTATTAAAGGGAAGAGAGTAGCTTCTTCCTTGTACTATTGGGACTAAAATCCCTGGCCAGCTATGATTCCAGAGTATTGGGGGAATTCCAACTTTCTCTTAATGTGAGATGTAATAGCTGTTTACGTGTCTTTGAGTGTTTAATACAAGATAAGAAACCTGTGAGATTCCAGACTTCTCTTAAGATTGCTAAAAATCGCAGATCAGATTGCCTATTCTGATCTGTTATATTTAATTATATAGTAGCCACAAGAGATTGTCCAATATTCCATCAATATTCTGTCAAATCTACAATTCTAACAGATTCTTCGAGATGATATCTTTTTTTCCCCAAAAGTAGAATTGTCAAGTAGCTAAATTGCCAGCATACTTACTGTAACAATCTTTGGTCTGTTAGGGACTTGTATAGCTGAGTTTGTTATATGGTGCCATGTTATATAGTGCCTTGATTAATGTATTTTTATTTATTTATTTATTTTTTGAAAAAATATACAGGTTTTAGTATATTCTTTTTGATTGTTGCTTCTATATTCTCTCATTGTTAGCTGACCAAAGTTAGTGTACAAGATAGGCAGTTATATAACTTTTGTAAGTTAATGAAGTAATGAAGTAAGTAATGAATAGCAAATGCTATATGGACAGTAATGAACCCAAGCATTGCAGTTAGTGGTTCTTATTAGGCCTCTGGATTGAGGCATGCAGTATAATCTCTCCCTTATCAGCTACTCTGTCAAAAGCAATTCAAAGGGTCTTGAAACATTTTCAAATGGAAGCAGCTACTACAAAGAATAGTTACATAGAGTTCAAGGGGTTAGAAAAAAATCTTTCTGATAATAAAATAGCTTTCCAGAACAAGAACCATTTTTCAAAATTGCAATCAGAACCAGTGTACATTACTGGTATTTTCTATTTTCTCGAGATTTTACGGCTTTGTTTTTCTGCTTGTGCAGCTTTATATAGCATCAATTTCTTTAAACATACCATCTTAAAGGGGGGAAAAACCCAAAGCAGTGGATTCCAAGAGCCTTAGAAAATCACAAGAAGTTATGTTTATGCACACCCAAAAAACTTCAAAATATCAGCTAGTACTTGCTTAGGGAGAGAACGCTATTAAGATATGATAAATGCCAACAATTTTAAGTAATAAAATATTAGAAAGAAATAACTCCTTACAGTTTGATTTAAAAATGTAGCCAATTTAACAGTCTATTCTTTTATCTGATGTTGACAGGTCAAATTCTTGAGGCAGATGTTGAAAGAAATAATGCTCTCTCTAATTGTAATTTTTGGTTTCTTTCTTGTATTGGATTGTAGAAAGGAGCACCGTAGTGTGCAAATTGATCCCAACCCCTTCCTAATAGAATTTCACTGGAAGTTGTTTGCATGTGCCTAACATTTCCTTTATATCAGGGAAATTGCAACCATGGTAATAATGTTTTGTAGGTAAACACATATATGATACCGAAAAGAGCATTGGCTTTTTAGTTTGTTTTAATTATTTTGCTTGTTTGGGTTTTTTTCTCCATCAGTTGCAAAAGTTTGGGTATGTGTTGATAAGAAAGAGGAGAATGCAGTCTGGACAGCACTGCATTATATGTATTATGTAAAATAATCATTTTTCCTAGAAATAATTTGTTCATCAGAATTTCTAAGAATTAGCTACATTCTTAAAGTTTTTTGATAAGAAGCTTGTTACTCTCTTAAAAAATAATTTTTACTGATGTAACTTTCATGAAGAAAGAGAGGATCCTATTTGCTCAGGTGCCAGATAACTTAATTGAACTTTGTTTCTCTTATGTATTGGTCTGTCGGTTTAGGTGGAAATGCTGTATTGTCTGTCTTTACTTGCTTGTAATTCATTTTTATTAATTTATTTTTATTATTTATTAAATTTTTATGTCACTCATGTCTCCTACAAGATGACTCTAGGCGGCTTTCAAGTTATAAAAAAAGTAACAAATAGCTAAAAGATTAAAGTGACACAGATTAAAATATTATTAAAACTGTACTAAAATTTTTGACTGGTCTGGTTTGGTTCCGCAACCCAACAAGACAGACACAGACTTCAGATAGTAATTAGGACTGCAGAAATTTTTTTTACTATCAACCTGCCTTCAATCGAGGACCTATATGCTGCAGGAGTCAGAAAGAAGGCTATGAAAATATTTACAGACCCCTCACACACACACTCCGACATAAACTGTTTCAACTCCTACCCTCAAAGCAACACTATAGAGCACTGCACACCAGAACAACTAGACACAAGGACAGTTTTTTCCGAACGCCATCACTCTGCTAAACAAATAATTCCCTCAACACTGACCAACTATTTACAAATTCTGCGCTACTATTACTATTAATCTTCTCATCACTCCTTATCACCCATCCCCTCCCACTTGTGATTGTAGGAAGAATTAGTTAAACAGTAGGAATGTTGGTTGTAAAATGTTTGTATGTTTATAAAAGGTGATGAATGACATCCTTTATACTATTACGGCCAATCAAATATGTACCATGTTCAATTTATGATATCTAGAAAAATAATATTTATATAAAAATCTATGAAAAGTATTTTTTGAATATAATATTTAAACAGAATTTTGGAATGAGGCTCTTTACTTGTTTATTCATCCATGCCTTAGGGTCTTTGCTGACTCAATTGCCCAGATAAATATGTGGTATGCCCTTGCTTGCTGCCTAGGCCTGAGAGAAAGTGACTGATCAAAGTTACTCAGTTAGCTTTATGCCTAAGGCAGGACTAAAACTCATGGCTCCTCATTTCTAGTCCAGTGACGTTAAACTGGCTCTCAGTGATTTGTTTGAATTTTGTAAATAGTAAATTAATGGCCATAACCATACTTGCAGAACTATGTGCATCAGCCTTTTACTTTTATATATCATGATCTATTCTTTTTATGCATTTTAGATGCTGAAAGTCTATGATATTCTTCCTTTTGATAATCCAGATGGTGGAGTTTGGAAGCAAGGGTTTGACATCACTTATGATGAACATGAGTGGGATGATAAACCTCTTCAAGTTTTTGTTGTACCTCACTCACATAATGATCCAGGTAACATATCAGAAAGCTTCAAAATATGTTTGGGGCAATCATATTTGTGTCCTCAGCTCCATGAAACATAACGTTTTATTATCATATAGTTCTTTTTTTATTAATGTATTTTCCTTGATTCCACTGCTGCTAAAAATACCTTATGGTTTCAGAATCAGCAGGTAACCACTCTAACTGGCTAGATTTCAGTACAAATTGTACAGAAATAACTAAATGACAAAAATGAGAGACCAGTGAAATCCTAAGCTGTTATTACAAAATTCACAACAATATCTATTTGCCTTAATCTCTGTGCCTTAATCTTTCAGCCTACCATCAATAAACACTGGATTGGATTTTACAGTTCAAAATAAAGAGAAAATAAAGAGATTGCACAATGTGGTTCAGGCAGTAGCCAGTAAATATAGGGTTTTGCAGACAATAGACTCAAATAAGTGTGAATGCCAAAAAGGATTTTTTTAAAATTTTGACTAAATATTTTAAAAAATTGCAAGAGAAAAAGAAAATACACCAGACTACATCATCTCAGCCTGTCAAGAACCCCAAAATGATGGCAAATGGGCCCCCTGGAACTGGATGACAATTGCACAGTACCTTCCCAGGTTGTTAGATCTTTGTTAAGGTTTACAGTACCTGGGAGCTAGTGTCACCATTTTATGCTTTTTAAAGAGACCAAGAGTATAAACCACACAACATCTAGAGATGCCTTGGTGGCACATTTTATTAGTGACTTGGTCGTATAGTTGACCCCCTGCCAGGAATATATTTTAAGCAAAAATATTGTATTCGCTTTCTTTTAGACAATATCTTAAGCCTGAAACTTGGTTTACAAAAGATTCAGGCTGTTGATATACTCCTTATTTACATAAACATTCTATGTCTTTCAATCTTATTTAAATGGGCTCACATAATACAATAGTCTGTTTGCACATTACATTAAGAATTATGCCATGTTAGCTAAAACCCAATTCCATATTTCAAGTAGTTCATTATATAAAGATTTAAGTTATTTGAAAGAATAATTCCAATGTTAAATATAGATGCCAACACTCATCAAATTAACAACAGTTATTGCATTCTCATTACTGTACAACTAGGTCCTTGCATTTAATAAATATATTTAAAATTATGGGATATCTGTGGAAATTTAAATTGGTGACCTCAATCTTGCATAATTACAGTGATCATATTTTTATGGAAAAAATAAAGGGCAAAACCTGAAAGAGCAAATTTGAGAGAGGTTCATACGGATTAAAAAATAGTTTCTAAATTTGTTTTACAAAGGAAATTTCAAGAGTAAAGCCAAGAAAATAAATAAGTAAACTATATAAATCTAAAGGGCAGCTTTTTGAAATAAAGAGGCTGTATGGTCACTGTATCCATAATTCAAGACTATAATGCTAACAGCTGACATGATTTTCAGGACCTACACACAATAGTTCCTCATGCTTTTCTACTTCTATGTTTGCCTTTAGTGGTTAACTTGACCAAAAGAGGGCATATTAAATAAAATCTGAGTAGCATTGGATTAGCAAGACATACCATCTACTTGTTCTGCTTTGTTTACTAATTCTTGTTCCAGAAATTCTGGCAAATACTTTACATTTATTCTTCAATACAGTGGTTACCTGACTTCTTGTTGTCCCTATATCAAAAAAGACAAATGTTTGTATGTTCTTGTGTTTTAAAACAATCAAGCCACTACTTTTTTTTTGTATGATGGAAGATTATTCTACAATTCAGATAGATACAGTAGTCACAAATATCATTGTAGGCTCTGAAAAGAAGCCAGCATATTTTATAGCAATTTATTTTAACTCAGTTCTTAAGTTTGTTCATACGTTTCATTTCTTTTAGATTAGTATTTTATATTTCTCTTCATGTTCAAGTTGTGGCCTTTTAAAATCGCTTATATTTGGGATCCTATACATGTAGAAGCACATATTAATTTTAACTGTTCCATTCTTTCCTTTTAGAAAACTCAGTGACTTTCAGTAATTTTATTCTAAAGAGATTCATAACTACTTAGTTTCTAGAATAAGAAAATAATTTTCATTTTGATACAAAAGTGAATAAAATCTCAAAGACTTAAATTGACTTCATTTTTCATCACTGAAATTACAGTTCTTTATTTTTAAATATAACATTAGTTTCCATTTGCATTGACTTTGTGGAGGTGGGTTTTTTTTTGCCCTCATTGTTGTTTGTGGTTGCAGCAATAACGGTGATTTTACCTCTTATTGGCCATTGTTTTGTTCTCAGAATTCTAAGAAAGTGTTAAGAGCACTTTAGGAATCATTATTTTTTCTGAAATGTTCTAGAATGACATATGTTTCAGGAGCTTCTAAGAAAATTTTTAAAAAATGCATGCATTTGCTGAGAAAATAGTTTATTACTTCCCCTTACTGATATGGCTGAAGCAAATCCAACACACACACACGTTGCTTAAGTTGTTTATAACAAAAAGCAGTTGAACTGAAGTACCCCCTTGGTACTTTTCCTTAATATTAAATAAAAATTAATGCTTTCTTCTGGTTTAAAATTTTAGAGCAATTGACTTCCTTGATAAGGTATTACCATTATCACCATAGTTTATGCTTTCAAAATGTTTCCAAGTTATTTTAAATATAGATACAGTTCAAAAAAAGAATGTTTTCTTACTGCTCAATTGAGGTTTGCAACCCAGTCACAGTCTATTTTTTGTTACTGTCTAGTTTTTTTAGTCAGTCAGATTTTTATTGTAGAAAAAGCAGTGGTGATTCTTTTTGGGAAACCCTGATATTATCACAATGTATTCAGTTTAATTTGTTCAGCATGTGATATTATGTTTAATAGGTTGGCTGAAGACATTTGATGACTACTTCAGAGATCAGACACAACACATTCTCAATAACATGGTTCTTAAACTTCAAGAAGATAAAGGAAGGAAATTTATGTGGTCTGAAATCTCTTATTTTTCAAAGTGGTGGGATGGAATAGATAGTCAGAAGAAGGATGCTGTGAAAAGGTCAGGATATTTTAATACGTGTATATATTTTCATTCAACCTATTGTATGCCTTAGTAAAAAAAAATCAGTATTCATTGTCATTGTGACCCATTTGTATATAGGTTTATAAATTATAGTGTTCTAATACATAACTAGACTTGGCCTTTATTTCTTAAAGCACAATTTAGCTTCATTTCTTTTTAATGTTATAATTAAATTACCAAGCTTCATAAGTGAACACTTTGGAATGAAATGTTAGTTATAGGTAAGGTCATTTCTTTTTTAATTATAGTGATGCTGGTTCAGTTCAAAACAAAGTTTCAGTGAAATAATAATTTGGCTGTCTACTGAAACTCCATTATTAATATTCATTCACCTTAGACATTTAATAAAATGGGCAGTTTATTCCAACAGACATAGTATGATAACTAAATCCACATTTCTCTATTGGCAGTAACTTACATCATTTTAGTTCCAAGTTAGTGGAATACAATGGAAAGAATAGAGGGAAAAAAATGGAACAAGATAAAGGAACTATAATAGTCTTAACACAAGATCTAATTGCTTTGGTTGTAATCTTTGCATCTCATATCAATAAATGTCACTCTATACCTGCATGTACAGATATATCTATCCATATCTCCTGATCCATGCAATTATGTTTCCTAGTTTGTTATAAAGAAAATAAGTTATCTATTGAAGAGGTGAACGAGTGACTACATTCACTCCCCCAATCCCAATTTTAAGGCTGCAGAGTTATTCTCAGAGAATGCTTTAATTTTCCTTCCAACTTCAAAGTCTTCATACCATTTTGTAAAACTAAGTATCACATATTTTTCTAATAAAGATGATACAAGTTATTTTCTTTCTTTCTTTTTTTGAGAATTGGAAGTACTTGCTATCAGTATTTAAAGATGACTGGTTTTATTATTGTTTATAAACAAGCAATTTTACAGATGATTTTAAAAAGTAAATATATATTTCAGGTTAATAGAAGATGGCCAATTTGAAATTGTAACAGGAGGTTGGGTCATGCCTGATGAAGCTTCTCCACATTATTTTGCTTTAATTGACCAATTGATAGAAGGACACCAGTGGCTAGAGAAAGCTGTAGGTAGGTCCACATAATTTTTGTCTTGTGAGTTTTGCCAACTCTTCCATTTGAGTACAGAGCGATGAATGAATCAATTGTTTTCCTTTATAAATTGTCAAACCTCAATTGACAAACATGTATATAATATGCTTAACTGGGATTGTAGTAAAGACAGATATCAGTAAAAACATTTGGAGAATTCATCTCCTAAATATTATTACAATAAGTTCAATATGGCTTCTGGATTAACATTGTAATATACCGAGTTTTCAGTGCAGTTTTTTTTTGTCCATTGTTAATTATTCAAGTTGAGAAGAGAGTGGTTTTGAAATTTGGAACCCACCATGTTCACAGGCTGTTCTGTAAGATCCTAATCATCCTAGCATCCTCCTAATGCTTTATTATTGCACTTTTAAAATAAAAGGCTGCCCTGCTGCAGAGTAAAAAAACTGCACTTATTTTTATTCTCAAAAGAATATATATATAAATGGTAGGAAGTCAAGGTAGATAGCATTCATTTTGTATGCCTGCATTTTTTAATGTGTCTAATTTCTTGGAAAATTTAATAAACCCCACAGCTAGGGGTTCACCTGAACCTTGCTGACCATCCAGCAGCCCACCACTGGATTAGATAGCACCTTTGCTTCATACTTGGGTTCTCCAGACAGTTTCTTCCTCATCCATGTAACCATGTTTCCTGTTGCACTGAAAAAAACCCAAAGCTTTCTATGAGGCAACAGTTTATCTTTTAGGAGTTTCTGTTTGCTTTAGAATTGACTGTGTCAACCATTCCAATTTGTGTATCAGTCCCCAAATATTGGGGATCCCATGTGTAAGAATAAATGTTGTGTGTTTATTATAGTCTAGCATTATATTACTTTCAACACACATTCTTTTCATTAGGAGTAAAGCCAAAATCTGGCTGGGCAGTTGATCCATTTGGACATTCACCAACTATGGCTTACCTTCTAAAACGTGCTGGATTTTCCAATATGCTAATACAGAGAGTTCATTATTCAGTTAAAAAACATCTTGCAACCCAGAAAGCACTAGAATTTTTTTGGAGACAGAATTGGGGTAAGTATTACTTTCATAGGAGCTCATTGCAACAAGTACTTTAGAGTTCTTGGTGCTTGTTAAGCTTCGTTGTTTGCTTGCAGACATTTCATTCATTTCAACTTCATTAAGTTATATCCTCAGTATAAGGGTAGGGTTTGCTGCCTACATAGTAGTGTGTGCTGCCATTAGGTGGGGGTGTGGTTTTCCACTTGGTCTTTCCTTGAATAAGTATTGTTATCTCCTTGATTGTTTGGTGATAATCCTTGCTTAATCAGTGCTGGCTCCTCAAGAGGTTGTGTTCCTGGTCTTTTTGTTTCCTTCTTGGCTGCTTTATTGTCTCTGTTGGATGTGTGTAAATATGGTTTATTTGTATATATCTATTGATGACTATTTGCTTTTATCTCAAGCTTGCAAGGAATGAACTTTTTGTGCTACAGTGTCTGTTGCCCAGAGTAATGTAGTGTCAGCTCTGAATAATCTTGTATTTTATATTTTAAATTTTATATCATATATAGTGTGCCTAATTTTAATTATGTTTCTGATACAAATAAACAAGCTCTGAATAGACATCTTTATCAGCATTTGTGTTGTAACATAGGTTATATCATCAAATATGTTTTAGCAAAATAGCAAGATTGTTGACTTTGTTGTTTTCTGGTGTAGATAGATAAAAAATCAGATTCATCCATCCTGCACTTAATGAGCATGACAAAGGTCTTTACAAATATGTTATTTTAAGGAAGCTAGAAGAATAGATGATGCATTTACCAGTTTTTATTTATTTATAGGGTTTTTTTAATCCTCATCTTTAGCCATATGTCTCCCATAGCGAATATAAGTAGTAATATAGCTTATAATCAAGACATAATATACCATGTGAATGGAACAGGAGGAAGGATATGGAGAGAAACAGGCTGGATCTAATAATAATCAGCTCAGCTGGAAATAATCAAAATAGAGTAGCAGAATGCTTGCAGGCTAGGACTAAGTGATATTTGTGAGAGAGCACAAGTGAGCTGGTTTTTTTACCAGGAAGCAGGGGAATACTATTACAGTTTTTCTTTTTCTCTGTTTTGTAGTCTAATCAAATGGCTGTTGTTTAAACAATAGTGGGGCAAACTTGAAACCAATCATTTAATAACCTTTAACCAAGAGAAGGCTAGGAGGCTGTTGTTATAATGCAAACTTAAGCTGTTCATTTTAAAACCTTCTTTGTGAACTTAATCTCTCAGAAATAAAAGTTAGGCAGGGAAATAACTTTCAAATTGCCTTTCCGAAGTCAGTTTTTGGATGTAATGCTGAAAGAAGCATATTCTTACTTATAGTCAGGTATCTATGTATCCAAGGTTTTAAGGCGGGTTTCTCCAAGGTTTACATCTTTGCTTCCTAAACCTGTTTTAGTTGATGTTCTGTTTAGTTTGACTTTTCTAAGACATTCTGATTCTCAAAAAGCATACTAAAGCATACTATCCAGCATTACTAGATTTCTTTTAAAATTCATAGTATATAAATTCATAGTACACATAGGGCTCCTGAAGTACTTGAGTATCATTCTGGAGATTTCATATTATCAAGAATCATTTGACTTTTAAGATGAAATCATATAAACAGTTTGAAATTAAGTGCATGTGAATTCTTGACATGGCATTCATCGTTAAGTCTGTGAAAGCAACTACCAGTAGTAGGCTTACAAGGTATAGTAATATTGAAATAGCACAGTATACCTATTTAATTAAAAGTAGTTATAATTTTATATATGGCTGTCAATTGTAATCTTGATTATAAACTGGAGAATGAATATGGTATGTAAATGCAATTTAATATTAATTTCTATCATCTGATGAGATAGAATATTGTTTTTTTGTGACATGACATGATCCATGGATCTAGCAACCTTGAGAATGACCAAGAGGAAAGACATATAATGTATATTTTATTACATGACCGATGGCTTATAGTAAAAAAAAGAAAGAAAAAAGTATTTTTTGAATTAATTGGTGATGAAAGAAAAACTGTCTAAGGCCTGAACTTGGGTGATACGGATTCTAAGAGGTCTGGTTTATGATATATGTAAAAGAATTTATTTTTATATTTATCTTTGTATTTTAATTTTAGATTTGGGATCTGATACAGATATTCTCTGCCACATGATGCCTTTCTATAGCTATGATGTTCCTCACACTTGTGGACCAGATCCTAAAATCTGCTGCCAATTTGATTTTAAGCGACTTCCTGGGGGAAGAGTTAGTTGCCCCTGGAGAGTTCCCCCAGAAGCTATTCATTCCGGAAATGTTCAGCACAGGTAAGTGTATAAAAATATCAATCAACAACAGCAGCAATGCACTAACTATAAAATGTGAACATTTTATAATTAGACAAAAATGTTTTTCACACTAATACAACTTTGGATTTTTTTAAACATTATTTCAAGCATTTTATCTGGTATATGAGCCAAAACCAGATGTCAAAGTAGCTTTCGATGGATGGATGGATGGATGGATGGATGGATGGAGTTAAAATGGTGAAATTAATGAACGCTCTGGATTTTGGAGGTTCCCATTTCATTGACACAGATTTTCTAAATCTGTTTTGCTCAGTCATAATGACTGAATATAAATAAGCTAAAGATTTTATCACTTATGTCAATTGAAAGGAATAATGATAAACCTTCATAGAATTGCATATTTAATTAGAAGGAGTAGATTTTAAATAGTCAGACTATGAACTCAGGAATCAAATTTGGTTGCATAAATCTTTTTTTAAAACATTAATAATTTAATTCAACCAGTAAAATTTTGCAAATCTATTCTTTTATTTCTAAGGGCATGGATGATTTTAGATCAATACAGAAAGAAGTCAAAGCTTTTTCGTACCAATATTTTATTGGCTCCACTAGGAGATGATTTTCGCTATAGTGAAAGTTCGGAATGGGATCAGCAATATCAGAATTACCAGAAGTTGTTTGATTATATGAATTCTCATCCTGAGTTCCATGTCAAGGTAGGAAGCAATGATTTTAAGATGCCCATTTTATTTTTTTTCACTAGAAATTTTTTGAAAGCTTTACATTTGGCTTCTGGACTGTTGTGGCAAATAAATATATACATCTTTTAAAATATTCCTTGTTCTGGTGAGAGATATTCTTCTGGTGTAGAGATAGTCCTCAATGTATGAGACAATTGAGCCCAAAATTTTTGTGACTAGCAAAACAATAGTTAAATGAGTTTTGCCCCATTTTCTGTTAAGTTAATCACTACAATTATTAAGTTAGTAACAAGTTTATAAATTGAATCTGGCTTCCCTATTGACTTTGCTTGTCAGAAGATTGCAAAAGGTGAACACATGACCCAGGACCCTGCAACCATCATAAATGTGAAGTAGTTGTCAAGCAGCCGAATTTGGATCATGTGACCATGGGGATGCTGCAACAGTCGTAAGCGTGAAAAATGGTTATAAGTCACTTTTTGCAGTGCTGTAGTAACTTCTAATGATCACTATATGGTTGTAAGTTGATTGCAATCCTGTATAGGTTATATAATATATGGCTAACAATTTTAATCTTTATTTGCACTTAGAAATAAGAAAGTTTTACTCCTTGGTACATTACAGAAGTGTACTATATATGCTTTATGAATGAGTCATGTGGTTTATTTCTTTCCCTAAGAAAACTAAACCCAACTTTCAAGTAACCTCATAAAATTTTGCAACTAATAGCTTCAGCTAACAGAACAATTTATCCCTTTATCTTCTCTCTAAAAAACCCCCAAATCTTCACTGAGCTCAAAGAAAAAAATGTAGCAAGTCATATGACTTTTCCTTAAAAGAGTTTTACAGAGTACCATAGTTTAAAATTTTTAAACATAAATGTGTTATGCTGACTTTCCATACAATTATTAGGAATGTGTCCAGATGTCAGAGTTTGTACTTATTTAACTGGAATAGAAATAGAATTTACTTTAAACATAGAGACTGTATATATTTTAATTTTCAAATCCCTAAAGTAAATATGAAGGTAATAGTAAATTTTAAAACAATTATCTGTTATCACTTTATAGCTAAAACATGATGAAACTATATAATTATATAAAATACAAAGTAGGCTTACATAGAATTTATATAATCTTGATGTCAGCCCCAGGAGAGTTTAGTTGAACGCTGACACTTGAAATGATTTAGGTTTGAATGAAAAGTCATTAGATTAACTGCTTCATGATTTGCTATTTCTTAAATTCAAATGTAGGAAATTTTGAATTGTAAGCATTTTATATTTGTAAGCACTTCTGTTCTATGTAAAACAACTAAAAATCTTTTATGACTTCAATGATTTCATTGAAATGATTATTTATAGATGGTTACTTTGAAATTATAAGAATTTGTAGCCCAGAGCATAACAATTTTAGACATATCTATGTGGCATCTCCAAGAATTTCTTATAATCACATGTAGGAAGCATATTATTTATCCTTAAGTGTAATTAGTGTTGTTATTCACTGTTTTTGAACTGTACTGTTTTAGTTTAGGTTTATGCAATTCTCATTCTTTCTTTTCCTTCTATGCGAAAGAGAGGGTTTCTGTACGTATTTTTCCTCAAAGTTTTGATGTCATTTTAAATAATATAATGGATATGATGGTTTAAGACAAACTCATGTCATATTCAAAGTAAATGTGAATTTCAAAACATGGGAATGTAAGATGGGATAGTAAACTAACTGATGTTTGTTTAAAAATATACAGATTATACATACAGCTTTTGTTACATGCAAAATTATGATGTTCCAAATTTTTGATTACAATTCAGGAGTACATTCAAATCTTTAAAGCTTACTTAGCTTTCAATGGTTTTTCCCTGCAAGCTTCACACAAGCAAAGTTTTTGCTAGTGTGAAGAAAGCAAGGAGCATAGACATCTCAGCAATCATATCATTGCCTTCCATGTTTCCTATTGACTTTGACCAAGCTGTCAGGCAACATTGAAAATGAGAATCATGTGATCACAGCTCACTGTGGCAGCTGCACTGAACGGCAGCAGTGCTACAGTACCAAAAAAAATCCCCAGTTTTCATTCCCTTGTGAGTAATGGGTTCCAGCTTTCTGCAAGTTAGCCCATTTGAGGTACTTTTGTGACAGGTTTTACAAATAATCAGAGTTGGAAGGGACCTTGTAGGTCATCTAGTCCAACCTCCTGCCCAAGTGGGAGACCCTACACCATTTCTGACAAATGGAAGTCCAATCTCTTCTTGAAATTCTCAACTGATGGCGCTCCCACAACTTCCGAGGGCAAGCTGTTCCATTGGTTGATTGTTCTCACTGTCAGAAAGTTTCTCCTTGTTTCCAAGTTAAATTTCTCCTTGTTCAGTTTCCATCCATTATTCCTTGTCTGGCCTACAGGAGCTTTAGAAAATAGCTTGACCCCTTCTTCCCTGTGGCAGCCCCCTTTTTTTGCCCTACGATGCAATGTTTTGCCCAATTGAAGGTTACAAAGTATCAAATGGATGCAAGAGTTTTAGTAGTATATAGATTTATAATTTAGATGCTTTATTATGCTGAGCATTGCTCTGGTATCTTCAGAAAAAGAACGGTAAATGAATAAGATTAATTGCAATACACCATAATGCAAACATGGTCAATAAAGTCTTCTAAAATTATATTAGGGATGAAAACTACTCCTGCAGCAGCTAACTATGCTTGGGGAATCACAAGTCTGGTAATAGAAAAATTGTTCAGGTTTTATCAGAAAAAATATATGCTTTTTCCTAGACAAGATTTTCTGTGAGTTTTTAAAATTTTAAAGATACAAGCTAACTACCAGTGCTAAGTAGGAACCCCAAGTCAAAAGAAGAAGTTCATGCTTCATCTGTGTCATGTTCCCTATTACAGTGTTCCACATTTTGACAATTCATGGTTTGCTTCAAAATATATATATCAGTCTTTCCCATCTCATCTCTTCACCTGAGGAATTAACAAGCTATAGTACTGAAACCAAGATGTAAAAAGTTATTTTTGTGTGGAGAAAAGAAAAATGAGAAACCAAAACTAAAGTAGATCAATATAGAATAACAATGAGAAAAATCACATCTACAGGAGTGAAATAGTAGATTTTTCAAAGTATGCTTGAAGAACAAAATCTGTTCTAATTGAATGCATGATAGAGAATTTATACCACATTTTAATTTGCTTTAGGCTCAGTTTGGAACATTATCCGATTATTTTGAGGCGCTGAATAAAGCTGGCAAATTAGATGGAAAGAGCGGTAATTCAGTGTTCCCTGTTTTGAGTGGAGATTTCTTCACCTATGCAGACAGAGATCATCATTATTGGAGTGGCTATTTTACATCACGACCTTTCTACAAGCGCTTTGATAGAGTTCTAGAATCATATTTAAGGTAAATCGTGTAATTTTGAATATTTATACTCTTATGCTATCAAGTAACATGCTTTTGTAATTATGTTGTTATATTTCTATGCCAATCCAGTAGTATTTATTACTTTAAAGATTCTACAATAGAATATTGCAACAAATCTTGGCCTAAATGTTAACTACTGTAGAATATTGTAAAAGTTGTTGCATATTTAATATCTTCTACTGCAATAATGAACTGCTTTATTTTACCTTTTGGTGAGAACAAGGGGATATATACTGCTTGAATGGTTTGGTTCAGTTTTCCAGACCCTCTATTCTACATTCTGTCAGCCACACTTAAGTTAACTAAAACAGTAACTCCATATTTACTGAGTATACTCTGTATTCATTAGTCACAACATCTTAGCTGAAGATTTTTCTACAGATTTCTCATATCTCTGCAAGCCTTAGGGTTTTGCTATCCTTGTGACACCTGTGTCTTGTAAATTGGAGGGGAAAGGGAATTTATAGAATAGGTATGATTACTACTGTAGTATTATAAGATGTATTCATTAACCTTTTTAATTATGTTGTGCTTCTATTCAAGAATTATTCTTCCAGAATCTCTCTCTTTTCCCCAAAATTTTATTTCATTTTGTTAATGTCTCATACTTTTTTTAATAGATGACTTTTGGTTGGTATTAAAATCCTGGAATTTTTTGTTTTTTGTTTTGACTATTTGTTTCTTGGAGTAATTAATTAGCTTCTCTTCTATTCAGGAAATAATATGTCCGACAATGAAATACTTCTCTTTGTCAAGCATCAAATACTATAGTGTCAAATGGTTTTTCCAAATCACAGCTTAAAAATTGTAGGAGAAAGTTCATATCCACCTGTTGGGTAATTGCAGTTAAATCTGTTAAACATCTGATGTGCACAACAACTTGATTAAACTGTTTTTGTTGATTTAATTACATCATGAATTCTAAGTTTTTAAAATAATCATTCAATTTAAAGTACATTTATACCACTTTATTTCAGTTAATCCTGAAACAGTTCACAAGCCCAATAGAGCGGAACAAAACACTCCATTAATAAGTTTAGGGGGATATAATGATTACAGATAATCAGCCTACAAAAGTGAGTTTTTAAAACAAATAATTACAAAAAGTATATAAACAATATTCATTTCTTTTACTTTTTCCATTTCTGATTATGACAGGTTCTAAGTTAGGAACATTCAATAGAAATTCTCAGATCTTCAGGAAAGGGAATTGTGACTGTGAGAGTCAAAAAGTGTGATTGTCAAAAAGTACATAAAGGTATTTCCCCATTAGCAAAATACTACTTCATCAAGTTGTGAACAGAACTAATATAGTTGCTATGCTAAGAGCCATGGTGGCACAGTAGTTAGAGTGTGGTACTGCAGGCTACTTCTGCTGACTGCTGATTGCCAGCAGTTTGGCAGTTCAAGTCCCACCGGGTCAAGTCCCACTAGCCTTCCATCCTTCTAAGATCAGTAAAACAAGGACCCAGATTGTTGGGGGACAATATGCTGACTCTGTAAACTGCATAGAGAGGGCTGTAAAAGCTCTGTGAAGTGGTATATAAATCTAAGTGCTATTGCTAATGCTACGACCCCCAGGAAATAGAAATGTAGAGACAAACAAAGAAAATGATTGTCTGATCATTTTGGCATTTTCAAATGCTATTCATGTGTTATCTGCTCAAAAAGATTATGGTAATCATAATGATGACAAATGCTTAAATTTATACTTTGCCAAAAAGTCCAATGAAATAAGTCAAATCCAATTTTAGGTTTAAAGGAAATGTTTGTTTATAAAATATTTACATTGCCTGAATCCCAGTGATTTCACTAATCCATTGAACAATATTATAGAAGGCCTAAACTACCAGAAGATAGATATATTCATACTTAATACAATGCATCCCAGACTTTGTTTTTCAAGCTATGATTTTTTTTATGAGATGTGAGATTTCCATGTGTGAAAGGATCAAAATAATGCCTCTAATCTAATATTTTCCTAATACTTCTTATAGCACTTGAGTGATTGTACGAAACGTAAGTCAACATTGCAAATGTTGTCCAACTAAACATATATTTGTTTAGCTAATTATTGTATAATAAGCAATCTCTTTAATTTCAGAGCTGCAGAAATTCTGTATTCTTGGGCTGTGGTACAATCCAAAAAGTTTGAGAAAACAAAAATGTTTCCTTCAGTAGACTACTATAAATTGCTGACAGAGGCAAGAAGAAATCTGGGACTTTTTCAACATCATGATGCTATCACAGGAACTTCAAAAGATTGGGTAGTTGTAGATTATGGCACAAGGTGAGGATTAAAAGCCCTAAAAAGTCTTGACAGGTTTTATTCTTTAAGGTGAATCTAATTATCTGGAGTCTTGTTTTAGGTCACACTAAAGATTGTTTGCTTGTTTTAAGTTTAAGCTGTCTAATGCTTACATGTCAATTTTAACACAAAAAATACTTCATGGCAAATTTAACACAAAAATATTTGAATTTATTCCTCATAGTTGTGTATTTATTTTATTTGCAGGCTTTTTCATTCATTAATGAACTTGAAGGAGATAATCACTGAATCTGCTCACATTCTTACTCTGAAGGACCAAGAACTGTATAGCTACAATGCAGCAACACCATTCTTTACAATGGTGGGTTTCACAAAGCAGCTAATGTGATCAGAGTTACTGTAACAGAAACCATAAATTGTGCTGATGAAAAGATAGCTTTATAAAAAATATAGGTTATAAACATTGATTTGAACTGGTCTTTTAACCAGGAAATAGAACAGCAGAATTAAACCCCACACCTTTATGCATATTGGACACATGCATATATGCACAATATGCCTTTTCACTCTCCCAGGATCTATTTTCATAACTTCCCTGTTTCCACCTTAGCCCTTTTTTGGGGGTGAGTGGAGTACTTTAAAGCAAACTGGCTTCCAACTGCCTGTTTTATTTTTTAATAATTTTTTAAAGAATTTAATACTTGTTCATAGGAAAGAAAGGTGTTAATGAAAGGAATTTTTTATTTTGCTTTGAAAAACAGTCATGAGATAAAACATACAGAAGATATTCTGGAAACTTTGGTGCTGCATGGTAGTTGTATTTTAAACTACTAGAGACGACATTTCCGCTGAACATACAATCTGAAAATAAATTCTGAAAAAAGATCTTCAGTCTAAATTACAAAAAAAATCTCGATCAGTTTCTAATATCCTTATTTGGTTAGAGGTTGGGTATATTTCTCTTGGGTTGCTTTGGACACAATGGATTCATTTAGCTCTCAGAATTGACTGGAATAAATTTTTTGGTGTGAGTCTTACTTTACCCAATTGAATAGATTTTCCTCATTCTTGAGGAGGGATATTGATTTTTGTCTGGCATATTCTCTGGCAACGTTGTCGTTCACTCAGCACTGGTAAAGCCTGACTAGAACTTAAACAGAAGATTTGGACTTTAGACTATAAAATGTCAGAGCCAAAATCACCAACCCTAATTATAGTACAGTTGCAGGCTCTCTTGGACTGTTTCTAGCTCTGATTTTTGTTTCATATCTTGCATCAGTAATTAACCAAAAATACTTTCCTTGCTGATAGGATATTACTCAATCTTCACAAGACTCTTTGCCACATAAGACTGTCATACAGCTGGGAAAACAGCCAAGGTAAATATTTGGTTCTTTAATGTTTAAAAATATCTAAAAATGTTAGATGTGTGTGTCTGTGTTGTGTATGTGTGAATGGGAAAGCATGCATTATTCAGCACAATCACTGTTTGCTGTAGTTTATCCATTCCCAGCATGTGCCCCTCCCAGCATGTGCCCCAACCCAGATTACTTGCACAGATGTTACTTCTGATTAGCAGTACACCAATTTCTATTATAAATGGTTAACTATGTCATTACTAAAGAAACCTGACTATGAAACAATGCTGCTTGAATAAATAAATGCTTAGATTCATAAAAATAATTTGAATTGCATCTACAATTCTATAAAATAGAATTCTACAAAAACAAGCTGTCATCTTAGTTAGCATAGCATAGATGTGCAAATTTTGCTTCTTGGGAATTGTACACTTTCCAAGACAATATGCAATTTCATTGGAGACTGTAAACGGAAAAGAAGACTAGTGGATTTTCATTCTCTTTTCCAACAAACAGAATTGTTTTCATTTGCGCACTGTCACCATTGAACTTTTTTATTTTAATTGTAAAAGTGTGTGCTTTAATGTATCTTGCTTTGGCAGCCCATCAATTGATTATAATAATACAGTGTAACACAATTCAAATGTTTGTTGCATTTGAATTCTTGTATGAAACATTCAAACAATACTAAATACTTAATAAATATATATCTAAAATGTCTGACTTTTAAAAACAATCTTTAAGTCTTAACTTTTCTATTGATTTTATTTTTTTAATTTAATCTTTAAATTTAAAGATTGATTATTATAGTGTTTCAGAAAATCTGCTTGATATTATTGGTTTTATATTAAGATTCAATTTATTTCATGAAGAAGCAGTAGCAACATGAAATAAAAAAGGTTTTCGTAGCTAATTGATATGATACGATAAATCAAACTATGAGCTGTATCTTGATGTGCATTACACTTTCTCTTTCTGCAAGTAGTCTTGGGTTGCATTCTTGTCAAAAAAACCTGTCTGGAATTTGTTAGCTTTTTTCTGCTCATGTGGAAAGCAAGTAATGCAATAGAGCATTAGACATTAATTTGTAGCATATTCACAAAGCTTTATATCATAAATAAGCTGAGATGCATACACATCACATGGACCACAGCAGAATAAGGTAAATTTGTTTAGATTAAGCCTGGCTATTGAAAATTAATCATTGCTAACAATGAAAGTTAAAATTAAACATTTTAACTCCTAAGGGCCACAAGTAATGAGAATAGAATTGTAAGCGTTAATTCCTTGAAACCTTGCTCACATTCTATTGTTGTTATTACTATTATTATGGTTGTTATCTAAATTTATATCTCGTCTGACTCCTAGCGATGGATGAAAGCACAGATTTAAAAATACTTGCTTTTGCTAATATTGCTCATAGCTCAGTGCATAGCTCAGTGCAATGGAAAATATGTGTGTAACTTGCGGTGCATCTTTATATAATCTTTCTATTATAGCATTCCCAATTTTTATGGTCAGTGGACACGTTTTGACAACATTGTTCTGGGCATGGTAGTTGCTTTGCATTGGGAGAGGGAGGCTTGTCCATTCACGGAATCACGTGGCCCCATGACAGACAAGAGGGCATGAAATTCAAAAGGGACCAAAGTGAAAGGCTGCAGGCACAATTATGAGAATCATAGATCTAGTTGGGTCCCAGAGGTAAACATACTTGGATGTATTCTTTCTTACAGTGTTGTTTAGATATAAATAGCAGAAGTGACAGCAAATAGCTTTAGGTACAATAAAAATAAAAAAGGTAACAATTGCACTGTAACCAAAGAAAACTAGCTCTGAAATAGACTTGTTTGCACATTTGTTGAACAAATGATCTGTGATGTCATTATTTAAGATGAATATTACCGTAATGCCATAAAAAAAATTTGTGATTACAACTGCTATGACCCAATCAGCAAAAGTAGTGCAGGTAGTCCTCGACTTATGACCACAATCATGCCCAGAATTTATATTGCTAAAAGAGAAATTTGTTCAATGAGTTTTACCTCCCTTTTATGTCTTTTCTTGCCACCGTTGTTAAGTAAATCACTATAGTTGTTAAATTAGTAACATGATTGTTAAGTGAAATCTGCCTTCCCCATTGACTTTGCTTTTCATACGGTTGCAAAAGAAGATCACATGACTCCAGGACACTGCAACCGGCATAAATATAAACCAGTTGTCAAGCATCCGAATGTAAATCATGTGGGGATGCTGCAGTGGTCATAAGTGTGAAAAATGGTCAAAAATTACTTTTTTCAGTGCTGTTGTAACTGAATGGGCACTAAATTAACTGTTTTAAGCCAAGGATTACTTATATTATACTGGGACTTTTAAAAAAAATATAAAATATATTGTATACCCTTGTAAAATTTTAAGGTTCAGAGATCATTCATACATTTTAGGTAAAAATTGTAATGGGCTTTTGACTGAACTGCAAGATTCAAAATGATGTTCAATTTTGTTGAAGCTTTGTTTTTTTTTTTTAGGTTTTGCCCCCCAACATTCTCTGGCCTTGTTGCCACTTTCAAATATGTTTTCAATCATTTAGGGTTTAGAATTATTATTTTTACATATATGTGTGTTGTTGTTTTGTGATTATGATCTTCATTTCTTTTGGTACCATTTACAGTACCATTTATGGATGGTCCTATAATTTGTGAAATAATTCATATATTTTTATGATGATCTATGGATTTTGCCAATTGTCTCTACTGTTTATCGGGAGAAAGGAATCAAACTGCCTCTCTTTTTGAAGATCTTGTTCACCTACCAGTTACATATTTATGCTTTTTGAAGAGATTATGCTTTAGTATTGAGGGTTTTGCAATCAGTTATGCTGCAGTGTGCATTTGATGCAGTTCAGTTTTCCTAGTTAAACTTGAATGACATGTTTAGGCATATTGGTATGAATTTTTCATGGAAGTATCTTTGATACTAGAGGTAAGTAATTTATTTTGTTTGTAAAGGTTAATGCTTGCAGTTGTCTGTTTCTGGGAAATTACTTAGGACATTTTTAAAAAAGCATCTGTGTTTTTTGTTAGCATGCAGTCAATGCAATAGTTCCATCAGATTTTTATAGCCTTCCTGAAAGTTCATAAAGGGAGGTGGTATTTTTGCAAATGAAATTTTCAGTGCACCATCTCATTGCTTAGGATCATACCAAGGTAGATTTTTTTCCCCCTTGCCAAAGTGGCAGTAAGAATAAAACATAATTTAATTGAAATTTTGGAGAGCACTTTAATGCTGGAATAGGCCAAGCCACACTTCTGATTCTAGGAAAAAAAATGTTCTGACTGGAAATTTTTTTCTTCAGGGTCTTTCTGGCTGATCGAAACAGGAGAACAATTTTAAATTTTTGAAGGAAGAATCAATTCCAGCATAAATCCAGAGGCCAGTGCCACAAAGAAGTGCTCTGAATGGTGAGAGCAGCATAGCTGCCTATTGCCTCTAAAACAGAGGTAGTTTTTCCAAGTTCTCCAGGAATTCAAATGGAGAAAAACTTCCTTCAATAAACCTGCCACTATGCTTCAGGATTTTTTTTCATTTTTTTCATTTTTTAATTCATTTGTGATGAGTTATATCTGGTCTTCCACATGAGTGGTGTTCGGTGCTACACAGAATGAGTAGTGTCTGTTGTGAGCGTCATGCTTTGTTATTGTAACTGTGATGTTTTGATTATTGTAACTATGATATTATAGGTGGCCTAATATCATACTGTATACATGCTCTAAAATAGTATGGTAGGTTTGTGTTAGTCATAGCTACAGTATGCGTACTGTTCTGTATCTGAAATGCAAACTTATTAACTGGAAACCCTGTATACAAATCTTGTGGTTTTATTTTTCTTTTCCAAAATTGCGAATGTACATTTGAAGATTACTAAAAAAATGTATTCCTTCTGCTTAGAGGGATGTTCTTAGCTTTTAATTTTTCTCTATTCCCCAAAATATTTCTCTCTGTGATAAATTAGATTCCCCAAGTAAATTTATGTACAAGTGTCATAAATTAATTTAGTGATATTTTTCTTGGTGGTTCTGTTCAAAATAGAACATTATACAATTTGTCCTCAACTTATCAACTTTTAATGGCTGATCAGTTATGGCAGCCTCAGGAAATGTGCTTTCCATCATAAAATGCTGCATGCTTCCCCACCCCACCTCCAGCATGGTCCCATGGTTGCATTTCAGGTACTTGGCATCCATCTCACAAGACTGGCTGTAGCTACTTGCAGTTATATAACCAAAGTTTGGGACATTTTGGCCAATTTCCAATATTTTTTGCTCATTGGGAGAATGATTCGCTTAATGAACATTGTAAAAACGGTCATAAATTCAGATCTGGTCATTTGAGTGCCTTAACTTCAACCATCATAACTTTTGACCAAAATTTCAGTTCCAATTGCTGATGTAAACGAAGGATTATTTATATTACCCGTCTTATTTTTCTGCATCATTGTTAGTCAGGCTGAAAGTTTTCTCATCTCCTCAATTTGTGTGTTATGCAGATTATCTATATATTAGCAGTTTGCAGGTCTCCTAGGTACAGAGATATGATACATTTCAGTTTGTATCAGTGACAACAAGTAACTAGAGTATATCTGGGTTCATATAATCAATGGAGATATGAATTACAGTTTTCAATCAGCAAATAAAATTAATCTTTGAGAATGTAAACTTTTTTAGATATGTAACTCTATAATAAAAGTCTTCATGGATTCCAGCATTCTATTCTGATAATGGCCAGTAACTTTCAAACTGTAAAACAGAATATTAACTTAATAGTATTCTTACGATTTAATTTTAAAGATGTAACGTTCCGCTTCCTGAATTTTCCAACATTCAACTATATTTGATCCTGGATTTAATATTATATTATATATTATATATATACTTTTCTACTTTTGTAAATAGAGTACAGTATAAACAATCTTAAAATTTGCAATTAATTATATTGTGGTGCCTGATTATACTAGCATCCATGGACCTTATATTACCTACTCTGGTGTAAAACATTTACATAGGCAAAGCATAGAACAGAAAATTTGCTTGAATGATTTCAATGTAGGTCTTTTTATTATTTTGTTGTCTTGGTTCATAACAAAATTGTCTGCTTCTAGACATTGATAGAAGATTTGGTGATACAGGTTCAATTGCAATTAAATGCTACTTGGAGCTATTCCCTTTGCTAAGTAAATACATACACACAATCCATCCATCCATCCATCCATCTTCACACTGTTTATTATATAACCTCACACTTTTTTTTTTTACTCTTTTGGGAGGTATTTCAGAAGAATACACATCAGAGCAGATATTTTCTTTATGATATGGCCAGTTTGATTTTATAGGTATATCAATTTTGTGGAACTTACCTTACTCATACTTTCTAACTTGAAATTTAGTTGCTTTTATTCTTTTGTTTTCTATAAGTATAGGATATGCACACACAATCTCAATATATTCATTTTGACCTTTGCAGCTGGTACTTGTACAGATTTACAGAGGAAGTATTTCAGTAATGAAACCAATTGTGAAACATGATAACAAGATGAGAATGGGGCCAGAAAAGCCATGTCTAGATATACTATTCTAATAATAAAACTATTTTTTCAGTAATGTGGATAAATTTAGAGTTAAGAGTTTCATTGTCCATTGATATATTAATTGTGATTTTAACAGTGCAGTAGCTATCTTTAGATTCATTAGATTTGTTAGTTCAATTTGTATAATCTCCAAAATCTAAGATTTAGCCCCAATATACCTGGATGCTGCCAAGTCAGCAAGCTGCTAAACAGTGGGTCGAATCTGGCAAGTTTCCTTCATTGGAGGATGTTTACTTTGGATGAAGCTTAATTTCATTCAATCCTATGCTATGAATTTATTTCATTTTTTAAAATAATGGTACATTTATGCATTGTAACTTTTTAAGTGGGTGTTATATAAGTCTATTGAATACATCTTACAACAGGATTACAGGCAGTCCTCAATTTATGACTGGTCACTTATTCAAAGTTACAATGCCCCTCCCCCTAAAAAAGCTACTTAATACCTGGTTCTGAAGTTCCAATGGTTGCCTCACCTCCCCATGGTCACATGACCACATTTTGGATGGTTGGCAGCTGGCCTGCATTTGCAGCACCCCACTGTTATGTGACAGCAAATGACCTGCTTTGTTGGCCATCATGGTTTACAACTGTAATTACCAGTCCTAATTATGGTTATCAGCGAGGACTACCTGTACTAATTCATCTTGATCATTTTTTATATATCCTCAAAATATATTAAAGTATGGGGTTTTTTAAGATAAACCGACTGGGTTCATACATTATAAGCCATATTTATTTCATGTAGGCAGATGTAACAATAAGTAAAGTGTAGATTATTTTTGAACAATAAATAATCATTTGAAATTGTTGATGCAGTTGATCTCTCCTGCTGTTCTTCTGTTCCATCATGTCTGATTCTTGGACACTCTTTGGACAAGTCCTGCAGTTTTCTTGGCAAGGTTTTTCAGAAGAGGTTGCCTTTTGCCATTGTGTTATTGCTAGGACTGAGAGAAAGTGACTGGCCCAAGGTCAACCAGCTAATATTCTGCCAAAGGCAAAGCTAGAATTTACAATCTCCTAATTTCTAGCCAGATGCTTTAACCACAACACCAAACAAGCTCTCAGTTGCTGTTTAGCAATGTATAGTAATAAGAACTCATTTTTTATACTTTAGGTGCTTTCCCCAACCCTTTATCCAGTCAATAGAAGTGCATAGAAGAGATAAACATGGTGAAGAGAAATCATGAATGGTCCAAACAATTGATGACTGTTTTATTTCTCTACAAGATTGAATCTGATTGTCTGGTTTGTTCAAACTATACATAAAATAAATTATGGCTTAGTCCAGTCATGAACCCAGTCATGAATATAACTGATCCAATTTCTAATTATTTCTTGTTTCTGGGGAATTTATTTTTTGTGAAGCAGAATTATTTGAACAAATTACAAGGTTCATCCATTTTCTTCCAGGCACGTTTTGATTTTTAATCCTGTGGAACAAGAACGTTCATCAGTGGTTTCACTCTATGTGAATACGCCTAAAGTTAAAGTACTCTCTCCAACTGGAAAAGCAGTTGTGGTCCAACTTAGTGCAGTATGGGATGGAACATCTAAAATATCACAAGATGCATACCAGGCAAGCTATTAGAATATATATGTCTACATGTTCTAAAGCAAATTTAATTTTGGAAAATGTCCTACTAATTGAAAAATAAAAAAATACTAAATTTCAATCAATTTATTAATGTTGATTGAATTGAATTGAATTCTTTATTGTCATTGTACGTATGTACACAATATTCATACAATGAAATTCACCTAGAGACTAGACCCAACACGCATGCACCCACATGACAATCCCCAAAACAACCCCGCCAAAATTCTCCACCTCCTAAAAACACACAAGCATCCACACAACAGACCAAGTAATATGATGGTAGTCCTTAAGTTTATTGTTAACTGCAGCAAATGTGTGATCTGAGTTTTAATTGTTCTGTATCTTCTGCCAGAAGGCAACAGTTCACAAAGATTATAAGCAGGATGGGAAGAATCTCTGAGGATGTTGTGCAACTTCCTCAAACAGTGAGATGTGAAGATGTCGTCCAGGGCTGGTAGCTGGAGCCCAATGATATTCTGAGCAGATAAAGAATGATAAAGAGTGTCTTCTGGATTATCTTTTAAAAAGTCCAAATACAAAAAAAATATCTCCCTTGGTGCCTATATTCTGAAGCCCTGAAAATTTTACAGTTAAATCCTAAGAACTTTTATTAAGAAATAAAACTTATTGAGATTAATGGATCTATTCTCAAATTAAAAACTCAATGTGGGATTGCAGTTTAAAAAACAATACTGATAAAGTGATAGATTATATATATTTCATTTCAAAGTTTAAATTGGAATTTGGTAAGAGAATCAGAATACAGATATATTGATGCAGATATATTTTTAACTAGATGTTTTATATAAAAGTATGCAAATAACTTCTCTTTCTATTTTGTGGTAGGAGAAAATAATTTTAATTTCACTTTGATTAAAGTATGAGTTAAGCGCTTTAAAACAACTAGATGTTCATATAAACTAGTGCTGTATGTTTTGTACCTATTATGTCATGTAATGAGTAAAGTAAAGCAAGTAAGATTATTTTGTCTACTTGAAATGTACAATAAGGGTTTGAAACATAAAACAGTATAATATGTTCAGTTTGTTTTCTTCTGACCAGAAGAATTTATTATTTTTATTATATCAACTTAATATACCTGTATAATTCTTAAAATAGCAAAAAAACAGATATTTTAGTGATATTGTGACAAAAGACTTTTTAGGAAGCTGCAGCTGTAGGCTTGGAAACTAAGCATAGATCTGTCCACAAAATCCCTGTGAGGGGGTTGGTGAGGAGGCTACACTTTTAAAAAAAGAAATCCTCAAATAAGGCAGTACCACTTCCATACTTTATCATGAAAATTAGGTGTGTCCATGGAGACATGAAGAGCTGGGCTTACCTGATGGTGTGTTTACTATATGATAAATTTAACAAACAGAAATAATTCTTCTGAACGACATTTGTTTCTTTTTTTTTAACGAGTTCTTTTGACTTATCTGTAGTGTTGATTTTAAGATCTTAACTATTGATTGTTTTGAGACCCAGAAATATTTTTGACATTTGGATATCTGCTTTTGAGATCAGAAATATAACATTTTCTTTTTTTTAACAGGTCTCTTTCTTAGCTCAGTTACCTCCTTTGGGTTTTGGAGTTTATGAGCTTCTAGAGGGACTGAATTCAGAAACTGCACTTGCTGATTATAATCTGTATCATAATGATAAAGCTAAGTTAGTCAAGCCATACAGAATTTTTACTGTTAAAGAGGTACAGAATGCTTTGGATGAGATCATGTTAGAGAACCATTACATGAAAATCTGGTTCTCTGGGAATTCTGGACTTGTTGAGGTATGAATGTAAACTATTTTTAAAATACTTTTGATACTGAAATTATGAGGAAGATTAACCTCATTAATTGCTTTCCCTTTAGAAAATAAATACGAAAGAAGATAATAAAAACTATCGAGTAAAGTTGGAGTTTGCTTGGTATGGAACTACCAGTAACAGAGATAAAAGTGGAGCTTATCTCTTCTTGCCAGATGGAGAGAGCAAGGTAATATGACTACATTTGCAATTGGTTTACCTTTGGAGGAAAGTGAAGTGACTGTTGATATATTCACTTGGAATCAAAGTTGACTCATTCCTAGTAAAAATTTAAAAAAAACTTAATAAAAAGAAAACTGCCTCCAGATTAATTAAAGAAGGGTGGGTGGGGAGGAATGGTTGGTGAAATTACAGGTGTATTTGATGTAAATAGTTTGCCTCTCTTTGTTCTGATAAATAATCAGGCAAATTAAATGAAATAATGTGTTGCATACTATATGCTATAATATTCATTATATGATTAATTTAGGTTTGGATTTAGAATTTCAGAAGATTTAATTTTTGGATGATTTCTCATGTTCCAATTTAGAAATTGTGATATCTGCTAGCAGGGAGCTAGAAGGTGAAAGGGGGAATTGACAATTGTTCACTCGGTTAATGTTCATTCTTAGTGAAAAGTGACGGAGAAATAAAATGAGCCTTAATATAAGTAGTCCTCAATTTATAACAGTTAATTTAGTGACCATTCAAATTTACAATAGCACTGAAAAAGTGACTTAAGACCATTTTTCACACTTATGACTATTGTAGCCTCCCCATGGTCACATGATTTACATTCAGATGCTTGGCAACTGGTTCATATTTATGATGGTTGCATTGTCCTGGGATCATGTGACTCTTTCATGACCTGACAAAGTCAGTGGGAAAGCCAGATTCACTTACCAGCTGTGTTGCTCATTTAGCAACTGCAGTGATTCACTTAACAAATGTGGCAAGAAAGATCATAAAATGGGACAAAACTCACGTAACAAATTTCTCCCTTAGCAACAGAAATGTTGGTCTGAATTGTGTCATAAATTGAGGAATATTTCAACTGTATTTACTTCATGGTAAAATACTTGAATGGCTTAATCCAGGGCTCTTCAAACTGGCGACTACAAGACTTGTGGACATGCTGACTGGGGAATTGAAGAGTTGAAGTCAACAGGTCTTAAAGTTGCTAAGTTAAAGAAAGAAACAATAGGACAGGGACGGTAGGCACATTGGTGCACTTATGCATGCCCCCTACAGACCTCTTAGGAAAGGGGTGAGGTCAATAGTAGACAGTCTAAGGTTAAAGTTTTTGGGGTTTGGAGAAAAAAAACACAGAGTCAGGTAGAGTATTCCAGACATTGACCACTCCGTTGCTGAAGTCGTATTTCCTGCATTCAAGTTTGATGCAATTAACCTTGAGTTTGTATCTATTGTTTGCTCTTGTGTTGTTATGGTTGAAGCTGAAGTATTCATTGACAGGTAGGACATTGCAATGTATGATTTTATATACTATACTTAGATCGGACCAAAGGCGGCGTAGTTCTAGGTTTTCTAGGTCTAGAATTTCAAGTCTGGTGGCATAAGGTATTCTGCAACGAGTAGAGGAGTGGAGAACTCTTCTTGTGAAATATTTCTGGACTTTCTCAACTGTGTAAATATAAGATACGTAATGTGGGTTCCAGACTGATGAGCTGTATTCGAGTATTGGTCTAGCAAATGTTTTGATGCTCTAGTTTATCAGTGTAGTATTACAGAGAAAAAGCTACATAAGATTAGGTTAACAAACCTTAATGCCTTTTTGGCTATGTAGTTACAGTGGGCTCTAGCACTTAGATCATTTGAGATGAGTACTCCAAGATCCTTGACAGAGTTTGGATCATCAACAAGGTCTCGACTATTCAGCCTGTATTTTATTTTCTGATTTTTTTTGCCAATATGTAGGACACAGCATTTATTTGTTGAGATTTGAAGTTGCCATTTGTTTGACCATTCTGATACATAGTCAAGGTCTTTTTGAAGGGTAGCAGTATTGTCTATTGAATAGCTTTACATCATCAGCGAAGAGAACACAGTTGCTCTTGATATGATCACAGAGGTCATTTATGTAGAGTATGAAAAGAGTTGGTCCTAGAACACTGTCTTGGGGGCACCACTATTGACAGGTACACAATTTGATAGGATGCTCCCAATTTTGACCATTTGTTGTCTCTTTGACAGGAATGCTTCTATCCAGTTATGCAGTTGTCCAGAGATACCGTAAGATTTTAGTTTTAGGAGTAGTTTGTCATGTACCACTGAATCAAAGGCTTAACAGAAGTCTATGTAGATTGCATCGATTGTTTTGCCCTGATTGAGTGGTATAGTCCATATGTTTTTGCAGTGTAAGAGTTGCAGATTACATGATAGTTTTTTCCTAAAACCAAATTGTTTATTAGAGAGTAGGTTGTTTGTTTCTAAGTGGAGGATGATGGATTGGTTAATAATTGATTCCATGACTTTACAGGTGACGCTTCATAAAGAGATTGGTCTGTAATTTTCAACTAGGCTGGGGTCTCCCTTTTTGAAGATGGGGATGGCCGTGGGCTTGTGACCATAGTTTTGGCAAGGAGCTGGTCCTGAAAGATTTTTCGAAGATTATGCTTGGAGATTCAGCTATGGCAGTGGATAGCTTTTTTAAGAAGTAGGCGCATATTCCATCCGATCCAATAGATAGAGATGGTTTTAGATTGCGTAGTACTTTTTCAGCATTGTCTTCTGTAAAATCAATATGTATTAGATCATTGTAGTTGTCTGTGGTTCGACTAAGAAATACTGGGTATGATCCATTGCTGTTTACAAATACTGAGCCAAAGGATGTGTTAAAGAGGTTGGCTTTAATAGTGTCATCGTTGCAGTCTTTACCATTAGGTCCTTTCAGGGGTGGGATGGACCTTGAATCTTTTAGTTTGTTGTTTACAAAATTGTAGAAAGCGCAGGTGGAATTGGTGCATAGAAGGTTTTCTTCTTGTTTAATGTGATAATTGGTGCATTCAGTTTTTATCTGGTGGCATAAATTTTTGTATCGACTTTTGAAGTTGGCAACGTGACTAGATTTCTTTTTCCGCCAAAGTGATTTCTTTTTGGATTGAAGCTTCCTTATTGTTTTGGGTAATTTCTTTTTTTCTGGTTTTGAGAGTTGTTAATGGTACATATAGTTTGATGACTCTTTTGACATCAAGTTAAAAATATGTTGTAATGGTCTTCAACAGTATTGCATCCAGAGAATAGAAATTGCCAATCAAGGGATGAGAAATCGTTGTTTATAAGATCATAGTAGCCTTTTTTTGAAGTTATAATTGGGGATTCCGTCACTGTGATGATTTTTGTGTGGACGTATGTTGAGACAAAAGTCAATCATGTTGTGGTCACTATTGGAAAAGGGTTCTTTAATTTGTATTCTGTAAATTGAATTCAAACTGTTGCAGAAGATGAGATCGAGGCAGTTGTTAAGTCTAGTGTTGTTGGTTACTAGTTGTTCTAGTTGTTCAGATTTGTTACTGCATTGGGGAAGATTGCATGTGTGGGTTCACTTGTACATTCATTAAGGGTCCAGTTAATACTGTATTTCTCATATAATAAGGCCAGGTCTTATTTATTTTTTGAGCCCCGAAAAAATGGCTAGGCCATCTTTTCGGGGGTGACCTCGATGTTGGTGGGGCACTTCGTATCGGGAGACCTTCCATCACCATTGCTTTCCCTTCTCCCATGCTGCCACGGCATTTGGAGCAATGCCATGGTGTTTGGCGCAGCTACATGGCATTTGGCGCAGCCATGAGGGGCCGGCCAGGGCGCCTCTCTGCAACCGGAGCCTGGCGGAGACATTCAGCTTCAGGCGCTCCTGTCACCGCCTTCCCGGGCATCATTCGAAGGCAAAACCCATTCTTTTAAAAACAACCCCCTAGTACCGGTATGACAAAGCCTCCCCTCCCTGAGAGGGCAGCCCAACCCCACATGGGGAGGCAAATCTCCCGGGGCTGCAGCGTAGGATCGGCCCACCCCGCGAGAAGTGCCCAGCCGCCATCCCTGCCTGGCGCTTGGCAGAGTGCGAAGAGCTTTGTCTGGGGTGCCCAGCACAGCTGACAGGCAGGCCCTCCTCCCTGGCAATGGAACTCTGGCCAAAGCAGCAAGTGCCTCCCAGCTGGGCCCTCCGCTCATCCTGCCAGGGCCACATCAGAGCCATGCAGGCTTGGCAAAGCCAGGAAAGTGAGCCGCGGGTGTACATCCACCTGCCAAGCAAAAGAGCCAGGCCGACCTGAGCTTGGCTTCCTTCCCAAGTCCCTCCAGCCCGACCCCGAAGGGGCCACTGGTAGAGGCCACCTGAGACAGTGATAGTGTCCACCCATCCATGGACATGGAGGCAAGGCAACGGCCCATGCCGCATCCTCCTCCAAGCTGAGCCCTGCCAAGTGAGCGCCTCTGCCTGATGCCCATGCCGCTGCAGCGTTTGGAGCTGCCGGAGCGTTTGGAGATGCATGGGGACGGGCTGGGTGAGGGGTGGAAAGGACGGGTGGCTTTGGGCTCTCTCTGCCAGACCCGCTGGCCAGGGAAGCAGCGCCTGAAGCTGAGTGTCTCTGCCAGCCTCCGGTTGCAGGGAGGAGCCCTGGCTGGCTGCGCATGGCTGCGCCAAATGCCATGTGGCTGCACCAAACACAGTGGCATTGCTCCAAATGCTGCGGCAGCATGGGGAGAAAGGAAAGCAACGGTGGGAGAAGGTCTTCTGATACAAAGTGCCCCACCAATGCCGAGGTCAACTCAGGCAGCACCATATCTGGATGTACAACAAAAGTACTTCCTAACGGCAAGCCCCCTGCCATTCCCCCACATTTCGCATGTTTTAATGTAGGCCTTAATTTGGGGGGGGGGGTTAATTTCATTTCGTGCCTATAAAACATGCTCGGACTTCCTACTGGGGGAGGCTGTATTGTTGGAGAAACAGGGTATGAGGTAGATTGAAGTCACCAAGAAAGATAAAAGCGTGTGGGCAGGGTGCTACCCATGTTAGCAGTGTATTTAGCTTGTTTGCATGTTCGATGTCATAATCAGGGGCTCTGTAACATAGTAAGAACTGAAATGAGATATTTAAGAACAGTTCACAGACAATGGTCTCAGGAATAGCAAGCTCCTGGGTAACTTGGATGTTTTTTAGATGTAGGGACTTTTTATAGAAGATAGCAACACCACCTCCTCTACGGATTTCACGATCTGATCAGTAAACTTGATAGTCTCTTACTGTGGTAATGGAGTCAGAGAGAGATGTGTTGAGCCATGTTTCACAGACAAATATAATGTCGAATTTAACCGTATTTAGTAAGAGGAGAAATTCAGGTATTTTATTTACAAGGCTTCTTGCATTGAGTAGCTTGCATTTAAGGCCAGTTGTGGTTGGAATAGAGCTAGTTTGGGGCGTGCATGCCTAGTTTGAGTGATGTTGGATTGGATGGGGTGGGGTTGGATGCAGAGTTGTGGGTTGTGTGACTTTCTTTTGATGCAATCAGCATGGTAGTCAATGTATAGGTCCTTTTCTCCATTGTCTAGATGGTTTTTGAGTTCTTCGCAGAGTTCACAGGAGCGGATTCTTTGCAGTATGGATAAGTCTGATCTTGAGCAAAGGTTTTTGTGGTTGGGATTGGTTTTTGCAGTGGCATTTATTGTATGAATGAATATGTGTTTGCTGGACTCATTTTTGCATACAACCGTACAAAATCTTGGGGCCACAGAGACGTCATTGTATTTGTACCCATGGCCATCTCTGGTTATTTCAATGATATCTTCAGGAGAGATGTTTGTTGCATTTGAGTTGCTTATGATATCACAAACTATGGTGATGTCATCTGATTCATTGGTGTCTTCGAGACCAAATAAGATGGCATTTGGATGTTTCTGTTCATGTTCCATGGTGTCTGTGATGAGTAAGTTTGGAGACCCCTGGTTTAAAGGAAATAATTGGAATAGATGGGTTACCTTTCCACTTCTCTCTTTCAAGCAGGACCATGAAACTTGAAACGAGAAGGTACACATTTGTTTACTTTTGTTTTCTTTCAGCCTTACGTGTTTTCTGATCCACCTATCATACGAGTGACACATGGGATAATTTTTTCTGAAGTTACTACTTTTTTCAATCATGTGACACACACTGTACGACTTTATAAAGTTCACGGTAAGGTAAATTAACAAATGTAGTTAATTCTTCTGTTCTATTTAAAAATAAGAATTGGTTGCAGTAAAGTCAAGCCAGCTCTGAAATTACCATGCTTCCTAGATACAAAAATATGTTGTAGATTTTCCCCCAGTCCATTCCTTCCCCTGTGACCAGTCCATTTCCAGCCAACCAGATCTCACCAAGATCTTTTGAGAACTCTGAGATATTTGGGGGTAATCCACCTGTTTTTTAGGGTGCCTGGCAATGGGACGCTGGTACAATCAGGATCTGGCTGGTCTAGTCCTTATCACCTGTCATTCCCACTCTTCCAATTTCCTATCACATACACACAAAGCTTTATTGCCTTTTCATCCTCCCCCCGCTTCTTTTTTTGATGGCATCAGACTAAATCAGGCGGAGCTGACAGTTACTCCATTCCAAATAGGCAGATCTATTAGCACTCTGAAAATATGACTCCTCTCAATACAGGATGTCACAGAGGACTGTTACCTTCCCACTGTAGTGGTACATATTTAACTACTTATGTTTGCATGCTTTCAAACTGCTTAGGTTGGCAGGAGCTGAAGTAAGGACAGAAACTTACTCCATCACTTGACACTTAGGTCTCGAATCTGGGCTGCTGGTTTTCCAGCTGACAAGCCGAGTACCATAACCGCTGAGCTACCATACCACACGGACTCCTAACAATAGACACTTTAATTTTGTCTGGACTCCGTTTCAATTTATTATTTTTCATCCAGCCCATTACTGACTGTTCAGGGAAGTTCTAGTCTACTTTTAACTGCAACAGAGGTTAATATGCTCAATTTATGCAGAGTACTTGAGGCTAGGCTATTGTAATAAATTGTATGTGAAACTGCCTTTGAAAAGTGTTCAAGCTCTGGTGACTTTGACTTTTAAAGTCTCCGAACTATCAGGCAAGGTCATCTCAAAGATACTGTGTTTTAGCAAGTTCAAATGTTAACCATGTTTTAATATTTGAAAATAATATTTCCTTCAAGATGTAAAAACTTCACTTATTTCTACAAGAAAATATAGTAAATAAAACACGTATAACATTTATTTGGAAAGCATTTTAGTTTTTTGAAACCCCTGAATTATATTACATTTCTCTGCTTCTGTGAGTACAATGGAGAAATAGAAAAAAACAAACAATGGGCAATAAAATACGTGTGCGTGCTCACATTCATTTTCCTAAAAATGTATGCACTCCAGATGTGTGAAATCTGATTCTAGAATTGTCTGCAGTACTATGCTGGTGGATAATTCCAGGAATTAAAGTTCACAGTGCTAGAGGACATTCAGATTTTGGAAAGCTTGGGTGTATGTATGGTTAATTGGTTATTTACTTAGTTATATGCTTACTTATTAATTTCTGCCCTTTGGCCTAGTGTTTCAGACCCGTGAACATAGAATAATAGAGTTACGGAAGGGACCTTGAAGGGTTTTTAGTCCAACTCCCTGCTCAATCAGAAGACCCAATACTTTTCAGACAAATGATTGTCCAGTCTCTTTTTGAAAGCATTCAGTGATGGAAAACACAACACTGGTAGTGGTAACTGGTAATGGTAGGAATCAACAACTCTGCAGGAAATCTCTATAGGCATCTAAAGGAGTATTTTTTATTCCAATTTTACCAAATTAGAAGATTATGAGACACTTGTATTAGCTGGGTTTATGGGTTTAACTAATCACAATTGCTAAAAGTCATGCCAATGTATTATGAAATACCCTTTATATTTAGGATTAGAAGGTCAGTCTCTTGAGATATCCAATATTGTGGACATAAGAGGAGAATACAATCGTGAGATTGCAATGAGAATTTCATCTGATATAGAAAGCCATAACAAATTTTATACTGACCTCAATGGATATCAGGTAATTCTCATGAATTAATGGGTACTGTACACATATATTAAATTCATAAGTTCCTTTTACATGTTTTGTTGAAAGTATTATAGAATAAACTGCCTAAAATCCAATCTGAATTTTGGGTCACAAAATTTTATATAAAATTAATACCTTCTTTTAAGCACTTTTCTTTCTTAGTAAATATGAAGAAAAAAATATTTGCTTGTTCTAGGGAAATAATGTTTAGGAAAATTTGATCGGCACCTTTAAATGTATGTATGTACATATGTGTATGTGAGATTCCAGCATGTCAACAAGAATTAAGTTTAAAAAAATCCTTTTCTTACAAACATAATTTTTTATAGGCTTATGGGCATTTGTTATATAAGAGTGTTTATTGTTCAGACTTTCAAAAAATATATCATTAAAAATGCAGTTTCTTCAGCTAATGTAAATAGAATATTTGTCTGGTCTTTTTGTGACCGAATTTTGCAGAAATATTTTTAGCAATCAGTTTAGTAACATCTAAGAAGTAGTGTATTATTACTGTCAAGTGACATGCATCATGTTAATTAAATTTGGTTGAAATATCCACATGATATATACTTTTATAAATTATATAAAGTAGTATTCACAATTATTGTTTTTGTGAAGCAAAAGCAGTTTTTCTACTTGTATTATTTAAATTCTCAACATTCACTGAAGATACATTTTCTAATTTAGATTCAGCCTAGACAGACAATGAGTAAATTGCCTCTTCAAGCAAATTTTTATCCAATTACCACAATGGCTTATATACAAGATAGCAAGATTCGCTTGACCCTTCATTCTGCTCAGTCTCTTGGGGTTGCAAGTTTAAAAAGCGGTAAGAATTTGTAGTAACATTTCAATACAATTGTGTAGAAAATTAATTTTAATAATGCTATCATACAGTATAATCTAAAAGTCTTTTCTGTATCTCAAGTATTTGGGACTGCTATTTTGAGTTGGCAACTTATAAAATATTAATTTAGGAAACTACTAAATCTTTTACTTTGTAAATATCCTGTATTATTGCTTCAAACATTTAAAACAGTTTCTGGGAAGTATATTGCAGTAAATGTTTAATAGCTAACATGTAGAAATAAATTCAGTATTGTTTTTTTTTTTAGGCCAGTTAGAGGTTATCATGGATCGTCGACTTATGCAAGATGATAATAGAGGTTTAGGGCAAGGTGTACAGGACAACAAAATAACAGCTAATCTGTTTCGACTTCTGCTGGAGAAAAGAAATGAAGTAAATATGGTATGAAGCACTTTCATCATCTTATAGTCTGCCAGCTATTAAATATATTCAATTATGTATCGTCAATATTTTCCACAATATTTTTTATAATCTTATATTAAGCAGTCATCTTCAGTGTTCAAATTATAGTTAATTTCATCAGGATAATTGTATTGTCCTTCTAGGCCAAGAGTCCCCAACGCCTGGGCCACAGCCCACTATTGGCTCACAGGCTGTTCCAAACTGGGCCACACGAGCAATAGGCAAGATCACATGAAGTTCCACTCCACAAGTGTCTGCTGCTCATATGAGTGGAGGCACAAGTGCCCTTCGCTTGTGTGGAAACCTCCATTCATGTGAGTGGAGAGGGCATGTGCCTGCCACTTGCACTAATGGAGCTGTGGGTGCGTGCATGCACCTGCCACTCACATGTCCCCCCCCATGCCAGGCAGGGTCACCAACTGGAAAAGCTGGGGGGGGGGGCACTGTTCTAGGCCTTTCTCCCTAAGCCCTAATTTTATAATGTGGTGGTACCTGCAAATGCAGCTTTTTTGACTGCTCTGTGCTTTTCTTGAAAGAAGGACGTTGGTTTGATGAAAAACAACTATGTGTGCAAACACCTCAGCAGGTTCACTAAAAATGCATAGTCTGATTCAAGGAAATGCTATTTCAAACTTCTGTTTTTGAAGCAAAACTAGGAAAGGATTTGGACCTTACATTTGATTTTGTTTCTTATCCCTGATTTAAGTTACAGTACATAAATATCTTTGCTGTCTTTCGGAAATACATATTTTAATTTATAATGGTATAGCATTTCAGAAGCTTAGGAAGTGCAACACTGAGGGGAGGGGGGGTTCTCCAAAAAGGCCCAGTATCTCTTTACAATCCATAGAATATGGGGAACAAACAGGAAAAACTGGAAGTCTTAATGAAATCAAGAGATTGCACTACAACTAGAGGTAGTCTTCGTTAAATAGCCATTCATTCAGTGATTGTTTGGAATTACAACGATACTAACAACATACTCATTTGACCATCAAAGTTGCAACCTTTGGAATATCCCTCTGGTCATGTGATCAAAATCCAGGTGCTTGGCAACTCATTCACATCTAAAATTACAGGAGCACTTCAGCTCTCACCACTTTTCTCTCTCCCCCCCAACTCTGCCCTTTTGGCCTCCCTGAACTGTGCTATTACCTATCCATTGCCACCCCTTGCCAATCTTTGTAGACTTCCTCCCCCTTGGCACGAGGGCTCTGTTGGTGCTGGGCTTGCTACTGCTGCCTCAGCTGCCAGACTTTAACATTTTAAGCCCGCTACACAGCCCAGTCTGCCTGTTGGGGCTCCTAGCAGCAAAGTGCTATCTCCTGGCTGCTATGGTGTTGCGAGGGTTAGTTTTAAGGGGTTGGCACATCCCAGGATACGAGAAAAGGCTAAGCAAACTAGGCAAGCAGTTACAGATTGTGAACTGCCAGAACTTTCAGCACCTAAGCATTTCATCAGTGACATTTTGCCTAACACATAGCTTAAGTTGGAAATTCCAATTCCAATTAAGTTGTTAAGAGAGGCCTATCTGTATAATGGAGTGGAAACAACTGAGATATTACATAGGTGATATAGATTACCAAATTAGATAGAAGATCTGAATGTTCTCTTGAACCAGAACTTTCAGGGAAGTGAGGCATAGTAATAATGGAAGACTCTTTAACGAGTTGGGGTAAACGTTTCAACAATTAATGCCCTATGTGCCATAGTAAAAGAAGAAAACAAAATAAAGTGCTTCATTCTTTAGATAGTGCTGACTTCAAATTGAAATCAGTATTTTTGCTGTCATTCATTCTTATATAGCATGACCAAGTCTGACAGAGGCAGAAAAGTTGATAAGGGGAAAATGTAAGTAACACTTTGCCCCGAATCCAAGCATAAATGGACGTTACTGTGACTTCTGGGAAATGGATGTTATTGTGACATCTGGGCACATGTAAAATTTGCACACATTTAGCTTTATCCATGGGCTCATATATCAATATAAATAGATTTAAATATACTCACCACATGGGCAAACAGCTAATTGTTTTCTTTCTGCTTTTTAACAGAAAGAAGAACAGTCATCTGTCAGCTACCCTTCTATACGCAGTCATGTAACATCAGCTTTTATAAATCATCCTGTGATTCCAATGATTACTTCTGCAGGCAGCTTTATCTCTTCACTTTTGAATACTTTTTCTCCTTTAATTTCATCTATGCCATGTGATATGCATATAGTTAATCTGAGGACAATACAGTCAAAGGTGAGTTCCTAATGCACACTCTTACAAAATCCCAGTATTCCTGTAAATGTAAAATGTTTGTGAAATTTTACTGATACCAAGTATTCAGATGGTGTTCTCCAGAGTAATGGAAAGCTTGCATGATATGCTTGCAGATGAGACCCACAGTTTCTTACCATGTGTAAGAAGCATAATATAGTATAGCTGCCTCCTCTTAATGTACATTGATTTATAGGTGCATTTCTTTCTTTCTCCTATAACAATGAATTTAATTTGCTGTATAACTGGGCTGCTATTATGTGAACCTTCTGAAGGAGAGAGTGATAAATGTCTTGTGTCTTGTAAATCACAAACTACGATTTTTGTAATGATAACAATAATATTATGCAGTTATCTGGCTAATAATGTATGTCACTGAAGCACCTTAAAAATATCCTCGAATTGCTAAAATAGTGAGATAATGAATTAGTACTATTAACATATTAAGCCTAACAACATATGTCATATAGTTCAGTAACCAGGAAGGAGTGGTGCATATTTCCAGCAGTATATGTCATGACATATACATTCTATTCATACTTCTTTAAATTAAGAGTAGAATATTGTGACATATGCATATTCCTTTTGACAGCTTTTAATAGATTGGAAGGATTGGCTGAAGACATTCTTTAAAATAGTAATACTTAAAAAGAAAAATGCTATTCTTTTGTGAGTAGCAGGGAGCAATGGAATTTTACTTCATTGTAAGGATTGCTGTCAGGTCTGTTAAAGACATAGTAGAATGAGCATTAACTTAATTTGTACAATATATACAAACATACAACTTTTAGGGAACTGACCTTTTAATAATCATTTTGAGAGATAAATGAACATTTATAGTATTTCTTAATAGTGTCATTGTGAATTAACAGTATGGAAGTTTGCTAAATCATTAATACATTTGGGTCTATTTGAACTGGATTTACTCTTTTATTATTTGGTGAAGATATTGGTTAAATATGCCATATAATCAAGTTTTACTTAAAGGATATTTTATCCTTTCTTTTTTGAACTATTTGAAATATTAATTCAAAGTCTATTTTGTATATCATCTAATTATCTTGTTCATGCATTTTAGGATTTTACCTGCTATATTAACCACTGTTCTCTAACCTTTGTAAATATTGCTCACCATATAATAAAGTTCAGGACTTCAAGTGTGTATGTATATTTCAGTCTAACATTTTACAGATTAGACAGAACAGAGTTAGGCTATAGAATACCTTATAAGTTACCTAAACATTATGTAAGATAAGTTGCCTAGTAAATAAGTTGCCTAAACTTCCTGATTGTTTTCCAAATTTGATTTCAGATAGATTCGGGGCCATCTGAAGAAGCTGCCTTGATTCTTCACAGAAAAGGTTTTGATTGTAGATTTGCAAACACAGACTTAGGGCTCCTTTGTTCCACCACTCAGGGAAAGGTAAGATACAGTATTTTAATAAAGTCTTTATACTGGTTGAACTGGTTACCTGGTATCCAATTGGGTATGCTTTACTGCTTATTTAAGCAGTAAAGCTTTATGCTGTTATCACAAATCAGAGCTTGAATTTCTTTTGGGAGGCCAGATTTATAGTAGACTTTATAGTTTTTACATATTACATTATGTTAGGGTGCGTATTTTGGTATCCTTAATATAAGTTATAGAAAGAAAAAATGTTCAGCTTGTGAGTTAATTCTAAACATATGTTGTCAATTAAGAATGGGTTTGTTTTTCAATCAGTAGTACCTAATATTACTGTAATCAGCTTTTTATTACTTTCTGCTGTCAATAAGTCATCATAATTTTAAAATTCTGTAAGGAAAAATACAAATTTAGTATACTGAATATGTTTAAGATTCCATTCAATTATCTAGATTTATACTTGTCAGAATGGCATTCAATTTTCCTTTACAATTTCAGTTGATTTATCTGCTGTCCTTAAAAGCAACACACACACACACACACCAATTACTGCTTTATGTAGTGTGGGATTACTTATTTATCAGATTTGTACAGCAGCCCATATTGCAAGAAACAACTGGGTGGCTTACAATAGTCAATAAAAATAAACAATAATATGTAAAAGTAGATATTTAAAAATCCACAAATAGATAATTAAAATTAAAATATGTACTTGTCACTTTTGTTGTATCTTTTCCCTGTCGCTAATAGAGTGTGGCTAGTAGGTCCGTATAATAATACTTTATTTGTGGTCACAGACCAAAACACAACAAAAGAAGAACATGGGAAAATTAATCATGAACAATTGGTCACCAAAAACTTGACTAAGGGGAATTACAGCGTTCTCCTCTGATGGTTACAGCTCTTAAAAAAAAAAAGGAAACCAAAGAAGTGATATATGAGGAGCCATCCCCTAGACAATATAAGAACAAATTACTAACATTGGGTCTAGTAGGGTCTGTTTCAAGGAGAGACAGTAACTTAGATCTGCCTGTGTTATACATAGGGCAATATAAAAGGACATGCTCCACAGTTTTCAACCTCAGCTAGTAGGTCTTGTGTGAAGCATTGGTTCTCATCCACGCTTGGCAGCAGAAGAGCATTTTGGATCTTGATTAGTTTCCTTTAGGCATTCTAGGCAAACTCTAGCCTTGCCTTTTGCAAAAGTAGGCATAAATGCACTAGCCCTGTTTCAGGTGATTTCAGTGGAGAGTTTCTTCTATCCAGAGAAGTTCTGCATGCAGTTTAGAAACTTTGGAATAATAATCTTTAAAACTATGAAATAAAATTTGCATTGAATTGGATGTTGGCAGTAATTCATTTTTTGTCTTTTTCCATTTTCAGTTAAGGGTGCACAAACTCTTTAACAAATTCCATGTGGAAAGTCTAATATCTACGTCCCTATCTTTGATGCATTCATTTCCAGATGCCAGAAATATCAGTGAGATTAATATGAATCCTATGGAAATTAACACATACAGAATTCAGTTGAGATGAAAACTGATTTTTGGACTTGGATACTAAAGAAGAATATACACTTCTGTGTCTTCTCAAAGATTAATGTGCAATAAAAAGCACATTTTAATTCCAGCTTCTAGATACTGTGACAATGCATTCATTTTAGAATCTATTTGATCTTAAATGCCATAAAAGCCATGATGCAAACAGTTTTTCTTATTCTCTAATAAAATGCCAACATCAGTATACATGAATACAAGAACTGAGGGAGAAACAAAGGATATTATCTCTCATCAACAAAATGAATCTCAGGTTAAATATTAGTTTATGACTTCTAAATTCATAATTTGTACCTGAAAGGGAGTTAACACTGAATTTAAATTGTTTTCTGATCTCTAGCTGACTCTTAAATACATACATTGTTGAAATCACAGTTTGAGATTGAACCTGAAAATTCTCTGGTGAAGCTATTGTCCAAATACTTGTAAAGACTTCTATAAATTATTATTTCATCTTTTCCACAAGGAGTCTGCATTTATCCCACTCTCTCTAACTCTAGAGTGAAAACAAGAACCTTTAAGAAATGTGGACGATTTTAATATTAGCCAACCATCTTGAACTGTGGAACTTAATTCTGGAATTATACATCTTTTTTGGAAAATACATTAAATCTGTATTGTTACTTGACACATTGGGATACGTGCAATTACTCCAGAATACAGAATAATGAAGATGGAAGTCTGAGTACAAGTTTTTTTTACTGAATACTTGGATACTAATGCTCTCTGAATTGTGTTTTCTATTTCAATTTAACCTTATCAAAATAAATGTGCCTTATTTTTTTTATAAGTGTTGTTACTTTTTATGTGTCCATAACAAGAAACAGGACAAAATGGGGTTTACAGTTTAAAAAAAACTATCTTTTATTTGACAGTAATGGCCACATTCTGATCTACTGCAGCCTGTGTGACCTAATGGTGCTTTGAACACTATGAATGTAGAAAAATAAAACAAACACATGAATAAAAGATTTAAAATAATCATTTGCTGGCAAATAAACATTTGGAGGCTGGCAGAAATTTGTCTTGTGCATTACAACATCATGTGCCTCTCTTTAAAAAACTGTTGTACAAACTCAGTATTTAGCCAATTTAGTTTCTTTGCATCAAGCATTTTATGTTGTTCTTGAAGCCATGTGGCTTTAAAATTTTCATCTCTCAATAAACTTTTTTTAAAGAATTTCAATTATTTAAAGCTGCAGTCCTATCAAACGTTTGCAATCTATTGGGTGGTGTCTTTTACTGTATGAACCTTAAGTCCCACTGAGTTTAATGGACTTCAATCAAGAAATGTACTGTATAAGCTTGCGCAATAAATTGTAGTTCAGTATGATTCCAGTTTATTTCATTTTTTAGGTTCCTTTAAAACAAATAACTGGAGAATTGCTTTTGGACTCATATATTATGTACTCTGTTCAACTTATGTATCTATTATTAATTTAGCCACCATTCCAAACTTTTAATACATTTATGATATTCAGTGTTGAAAGTTTCCATTATAGTTGCTCTACTTCAGTTATAGAAGAGTGTCACCTCTGCTATTAAAAAGTCAGCATAAGGAACTGAAAATAAATTTATGCAATAAGTGTACACTTTTTAATACTTTTATTTGAATGGAATTTTAATTGCAGAACCTTTCTGTCATTGTTACTTACCATTTTCATAGATTTCATTTTCATAAATGCTATACATTTTGTAGGTTACCCCTCCCAAAATTATTCAGCATATTATACCAATAACCATTTCATAAGTTTTTATCTTTTTACTGTAGAACATTTTTATTTTATTTATAGGTCACCCAAAATTGTTTAGGAGTTGGATCACCAATAAATTAAGGAAAATAAACACCAACAACATAATTATAGTATTACTAGTATAAACCTCTTCCTAAACCTAGTTCCTTCCAGATATTTAAAAGTTAGATTTTTACAGTCCTTGATGTATAAGGGTTGTAATTTAGCATATCTGGAAGGCATTGGACTAGGTAGGATTATAACTGAATAGGAATGGAACTCCTGTAGTATATACTTCCTGAATCTTTCTCTATGCCATACAGAAAACTAAATGAGAAAAGATTTCCTCAATAAACTGAGAAATACCTAGTATTCTTTTAATATATTACGAATACAACTCTACAAATTTTCCGCCCCATAGGTTATTTTATTATGGTAGAACACTGGCCACACCCAAATCTTGGCTGTCAAAACTTAATTTTAAAAGATTGCATTGAAAATTTGGTCACCTCTTTTGGAGAACCTGATTGCAAAGGGGATCTGCAGTCCTACCTTAAACCTACTTAATAATTATTGAATCTAACGTATCTTTCTAGTAAAGGATTGTGATCTATGTTTTATGACTAAAAGTCTTAAACTGTACAATCATGCTTAAATTATTAATGATCTTTTGCTTTATTTCATAATATGGCATAATATGGCATGTTGCAATAGTAATTGATTGTATATATTCTGAAGTTTGTCAAAAAACAGTCCAAAATGTATTTCTCTAGGAAATTGATAACTTCTCAGTTTTAGTGGCATAATTTCTAATACCTATACAGATAGGATCAGGGTTTGCCTCCCAAGAGCAAAATTCTTTCATAGTAGTCATCTGATCCAAAAGAAGGAATTTGCTAATGAATTGAGAGATCAATTTTTTTGATTACTCCTTGCAACCTCTTTAACTCCAGAAAGATTGGGAGTCTTTGGAATAGTTTAGTTAGAGTGATTAATGGGGAAGGGAATTGAGAAAATTGTTTCACTTCATGTCTCTGTAAATGAAAGCATTATGAGCAAAGGTCTGTTCAAGGGATGCTACTGCTAGTAAATTCTGGATCCCATCTTGGGTATTTTAAGATCAGTTTCTATATACCACATACTAAGCAGTTAAAAGATTATATCTTCAGTAAATCTGAAACCAAATTCTTCTGTAGGAATGTGGATTTTGAACAATCCTTTATAGTTTGATTTCTTTTGAAACCAACTGATTTAATTTGAATGATCATTTTCATATCTTTATTTCCATAGATTTTCTTTTTTTCTTCTTCTTGCAGAGGGAGAGTAATGTGTTTGCCAATAAAAATTCTGTTATGATAACTGTGTGATGCTGTCTTGATAGTCATTTTAGATAAACCAATATCTCAAAATAAGGCTGCAATTCTTCAGGACAAATGCTTTATTATAAACAAGACCCATCCATTGTATACAGGTTGGGTTTATACATATATCAATAGATCTGAAAGTTGTGACAGGGCAGCTTTCCCACAATATATGCTGCTTTGTGTTTTGAGGAAGGCGTCTATACAACTGCTTCATGACAATTTTTGGAATATCAAAGAGTTTCTGGATTTCTCTGTTTATTTTCTGTGGATAATATTTTCCCCTTGTAATCTGGAATACAGATAGTCCCCGACTTAAAACAGTTCATTTAGTGACTGTTCAAAGTTATAACAGCACTGAAAAAAAGTGACTTTTTTCCACACAACTGTTGCAGCATCCTTATAGTCATGTGAAGAAAATTCGGATGCTTGGCAACTAGTTCATATTTAAGATGATTGCAGTGTCCCGGGGTCATGTGATTACCCTTTTCAACCTTCTTATGAGCAAAGTCAATGGGGAAGCCAGATTCACTTAATAACGATGTTATTAACAACTTCAATGATTCTCTTTAACAACTGTGGCAAGAAACATCTTAAAAAGAGTCAAAATTCCCTTGAATGTTTCACTCAACAACAGAAATGCTGGATTCAATTGTGGTTGTAACACGAGGACTTCCTGTATATGGGGCACTATAACTTTTAGAGCTCCTTGTGAAATCTGTAGAATAAAATCTTTCATCTTCCAGATCTTTTATCCTAACATTTGCCATTCATTCAAGTCACCATACTCAGATCACTCTATGCCAGCAAGTTGGCCTCCAGTGATGTAATTACGTTGCAGAAGAGCTGCCGATGATGTTTTTCACACAGAAGGATAGGAGACAAATGTAATAATTAAAAAATATAAATATTGTGAATCATAAAAGCAGTAAGTTTAAAAAGTAAAAGCATGAAGCAATAAATTATGGGTGTCATTTTGTGATTCCTTAAATATGTTCTGCAAGTGGTATGATCATTGTAGGTATTTTATTATACAAAATAAGACTCTTAAATTATTGAATTCCTTCAGAATCCAAGATTCCTCCTATTGCCTCTCCACTTAAATCTGTGTTGCTTCTGCTGCTTTTAGCCTAAGATCAAATTAAAATGCAGCCTCTAATCAAATGGAGTGCATCCCCTGATTTAATGTGATCACTATCTAAGCAGGCTGGCCATTAACAGTTCTAATACAATTACACCAAGGAGGAAAAGTAAATGTCTTCATTTTGGCTGTAACTAACACTTGATGGAAGCAAAAAGATTGCATAAGTTTTGATAACTGTCCCAATCTATGGAGTTTCACTTATCCACTGATCGCCACCATTCCTATCTTTCTGCAGTTGCTATGGCAATGGCTCTATTCTCGATATTTTATTCTCCTGACTCTGCCTGTTTGAAGGCTGACTTGATTTTGCATCCAAATTGTCATACAAAAGCTAAGATCCAGCTAATAGAAGATTAGCAACATGTATTAAACGAAGCCACTGCTGTGTATGGCAAACCTCTATTTGAGGATAATGGAAACTGAGTAGTCCAAATATAAAATAGTTCGATATTGGGGTTATGTGGATATCCAAGTAGAAATAATTAGTTCCCCATGAGTGGAATACTTTCTGAAGTAGAAGAATACTTGGGTTTTGGTGTTTGGATCTATTCAATTATCCTGTAGTTCACATGGAACATATATAATTAATGGGAATAAATGATTTCCAGAAAGACAAAAGATAACACTGATACTGTTACCAAGTTTGGGTAATGAAATGTCTGCAAGAAAATAAGCAAGCTTGTTGAGAGCACCAAGGACCCCTTATTTCAACCCTGAGCTACAAACATTCTCCTTTATTGCCACAAAAGATTCAGTTAACCTTCCAATCACCAATATATTTTAGCCACATTACAGTTGGTGTGTGTGTGTGCTGAAAGCAGTTTGTAGGGCTCATACCACAGTTATTGTGTGTTCTCCTTTCCACAATAATGAAATGGATTCATTCCCTTGTTGGGAAGACTTCCTGCATGCTATTCAGACTTTGAATACAAAGTCCATCAAGTATGGCCGAATGTGCCACTATAATCCCTGATCTTCCCTCTCAAGTGGAATAAAGGAAGGCAATCTAGCCAACAAACCCATCTCTCTCTTCTGTGATTAGAATCATGATAGAGAATTGGGTATGTACATAAGAGAAGAATATCTGACCAACTCCATCTAAAACAATTTTACTAAGTTTTTTCTAAATTATACTACAACCTACAGTAAGTAGCAGAGAACACTTTGGAAAAACGTAAGACATCTTTGGGATAAATACTGTTCATATCTTGCAAGTACAGTGACCACATTTCTTTTATTATAAAGAAGGGCATTTCAGAAAGCTGTCCTTTTTATTTATTTTAGTCATTTAACTTTTACATTACAAATGGTATCACACCTAATCTTTAACATTCAATGGAAATTGAATTGTCATTTTGATTTTAGATATTTTATCAGAATATATGTTTTGTAATATTTTTGTTGGTTTTGCTCTAGATGTTTAACTTTGTAAAGCAAAGTTACAAACATAATCAAATATGTTTATCCTTATGAATCATGGTTGTTCATTTTTTTCAAAGAAAGGGATTGCATTGTCCAGTGCTTGGAGATCCAGGAGCGAGCACCAACATGGGAGTGTGATGGTTGGTGCTCGGCAATCCAAAACTAAACCGTTGCCACTAGTTGCAACCCACTGGTGGGGGGAGCCGGGGTACAAGGGTGGGGTGAGCATCGGGGTGGTGCCAATCTCATTGTACACATGTTGTGTACTGAAAATAAAGGTAATAATAATAATAGTAAGATTAAGCACGAGGTGGCACAGGGTGCATAGAGGATTGGGGTGAGAGAGGATTCCTTAGGCAAGCCTTAGACCCAAGATGGATTAATCCATAATTACAAAGAGTAGGGTAATTGGAAATAAGCGGATGACAGGAGGTACCTGCATGTAGCAGAGGGCGTGGCCACAGCTATAAATGGTGCTGGGAGGCAGACACTCCCAGTGCTAACTTTGATCGACTTCCTGCCATTCTTGCCGGAGGAGGGAGATTGATGTTTGTGAATAAAACAGCTTTAACCACATGAACTGTGAGAATTGGCTTGTTTATTGTTACAAATCCTCAGGATCCTAGAAGACTGGTTGAGAGAATGGTTGCCATACTTCAAAGCCATCTGAAACAAAAATGTTTGTGCAATTGTGTTCATACATTAATGTAAGCAGAGCTGTGGTTAGCTGAATAAGGCACAACTATCTGTATTCAGAGGTTATATTAAGCTAAGAAATGATTCATTACCCAATCCTCCCCAGGTTTCATATACTGAGACATGAATTTGACCCTCCATGCCTTGGAAACGGGTGAGTTCAGGATCTCATGGTTACCATGACAATTAGGGTTTTATTCAAAATCATCACAACTCTATCTTACGTGGTACACATACACACTAGAACTGGTTTTCACCTTACTACTGCCAAGAATGAATTGACAGGAGAGGAGATTAATTTCATTATCATAGCAGATTACTATCTAATTGCCTTGAGATTTGCAGCCACTAATAACCATCTTAGGAGAACAGGCTCATTAAACCTGTCCAATTCAAGCAGCTTATACTTAGGCACTTGGAAAATTCCCAGCAACCCAGAAGAAACTCTGTTACTTTAAAGCTATGGGGCTACTGTTCCCAACTAGCCTCCAAGTGCTCCTTATTTATTGATAATCTCCAAAAAATGAAGCACCATAACATGCAGACAACAAGAGGAAACACAATGGCATGAGTACAAAAAGTGAATTTATCTTTGCAAAAGAGGCAGTGTCTACTATTTGAAGAAAGCAGTGTTCTCCCTTTTCCTTGACCTAGATTTTCTTGATAATTATCATTTAGTTTCCAACCTACCATTTCTTGGTAAGGTTGAAAAAATGATTAGCTTCTATACAGAAGGTCCTGATTATTTGATCTCTTCCATCTAGGAATCAGGCTTAGACATAGAACAGAGACTGTGTTGATTATTCTCGTGGATGATCTGCAAGGGGACTTGAAGGAGAGTGAGCTGGTTCACATTATTATGTGAGACCTCTTAGTAGCATTCAATAGCATTGGTAATGATCCTTTCTAGCTATCTACAAAAATGAGAGATATTGTGGCTCTAATCCTTCCTAACAGTACTACATGTAGTCCTCATTTAACAATCAACAACTGATTGTCAAGCGAACAACTTGTCGTAAAAAAGCACTTATTATGTGAAACCACAATTGTGCTTACAATCTTCATCTTCCTTCTGCTTAGACCTAGGAAAGTGGTAAACGTGAGGATTGGTCAGAAAGTTTAAGTAAAAGATATGTTTAGATGTCCTGTCCTAATATCCAGAAACTGTAAGGAAGAGTCAGTTTCTTGAAACTGAATTCTAGCATGATGGGGCTACCGCTGGTACAAAACCCACTTAATTCATGGATATTCCATCCATATTCTAAAGAGGATTGCTGGGACCAGTACATAGCATTTCTTGTAGGACAGCCTACCACCTGAAGTCAGATTGACTTCACTTATTTTGTCTTTCATAAAAATGGTGAAGACTGTGCTCTTCCATAGGAAAGCTATGGAAGATTTTATTTACAACAGCAACATAAATTATTCTAATGATGGAATGTTTTTAGGAATATTTTTATATCTGAATATTGTAGGTTCTCTACAATTGTATGAGTAAGTAGTTCAAAAAACTAAAATGAATAAAATAAATTCCTAAACATGTAAATATTAAAGTAATTATTTTCCTTTTCTTCCCACTTCCTTTTTTCTTTTCTTTTTAAAAAAAATATATTTTATTAATCTTTTATAATTTTAAGAAGTCAAACAACAACAAAATATATCTTATATCAACAGTTTGTGACATTTGTCTTATACAAATATTTTGTGCATTATTTACAAATATACAAAATTGTG